AGCCATGGCAACAGTCATCCCAGAGATAGTAAGTAGGTAGGTAGAGGTACCCCACTAGGACATTACACAAACGATAAACACCCGTTGACACACAGTGCCACCAGTCAGATAAGTATCATCCGTGGAGAAGTCCCGGAAACCCCTTTCAGCCGTAAGGCTATATTTATGGCCCGGCTATATTGAGAGCCCCATGCAAAAGCAGGGTGGGACTTCCAATGAAAAAAAAAACATACATCCCACATGGGGACGACTTAAACTTGACATCCTTAGAGATAGTAATGGTGTCTTTCTTTGAAGTGGGAATACATCAGTCTGAGAGGCAGGGAACAAGAACTGCACACAAATAAGTTAGTAAAACGGAAGTACACGCAAAACTCAGGTCCTGGTACAAAGACAAAGTCCAAATGCACGAATAACCAAGACTTTCCACGGGAATTCACAACCGGGGAACAAAAAAGAAAGAATTTTCACAACCAAAGAGAATTTGAAAGAAAAAATAAACCGAGTGCAATAAAACAATATCAATAAAACATATCTGCACTTAAAATCGTGCGTATAGAAAGTGACATGTGACGTTTGATGACATAATTAATGATACTGCGTTTGGGGAATCGAGGGACAAAAAGTGTTTTCAGTTGTACCGTTGACCCTCTTAGAGGACAGTATAATATAATTTTTTTTTTGTGATTTTGCACTCATTCTTTATTATTTCTGTTAATAAAAACTTACATGTTTTCAGTATCTAAAATGGCGTATATATATTTTGATATCCTGTCTCGGAAACTGAAATATTTCGGTCATATCAAGCGCCACGACGGATTAGAAACAATTATAGCAGAATGCATGGTACCAGGAAGGAGGGGCAGGGGCCGACCAACACGAAGATGGGCACAGGATATAAGTGACTCCTTGAGTATGAAAGTATATGAGGCAGGAGAACTGGCGAGAGATTGAGTTTCTTTCAGGCAGACCGTGATGAGAGCGACGTTCTGCAAAGGACCTTCTACATGATGATATTTGTTTAAGCTTTCTGAGATTTGCTGTTGTAGCTGACAATGGTAGGGACCTCGGGGCCTTGTACAGTAAAGGGCCTGGATTGGATTGGCTTTTTACCCCACCAGGACATCACACAAGCGATAAAACACCCGATGACACAAAGTGCCACCATGCGGATGAGGATCACCGTGGAGAGGTCCCAGAAACCGCGTTCAGACATTTGGCCATAATGATGACCTGCCTATATTGCGGCCCCTGGCAAAAGCCAGAGTGGGGCTTCAAATAACAAAAAATAACGTAAGGAATGCATTAGTAGTAATATATATAGGGCCTTAACAAGTTTAAATCTGATCCAGATTATTTGCTTATGGCGATTGTGTTCCAGTCCATTCATTATGCTATCTAGTATAGTACGTGTAGATTCGGAAGGTAGATTCTGACACAAATGCCGCCATATTACCTGAGATTGTTCCAACTAGGTCGAGGCTGTGACTGAGGCCAGGTCCCTATGAGCAGACGTCGGAGATACGCCTGTGCAAGAAACAATAAGTGAGTAATAAGCACATAATTAGCTCCCCTACCTTGCACACAAATATTTTCTTCAGAAACTGTCATGAAGGAAAGGACGAGATTCCGGCAAACAAGCGAGCCAAGTGGTGTTTGTACACATAGTGCAATCTATTACGGTTGCGGATGAAAGTCGCCCTGCGGAAGTTGGTGAAGAAACCAGCAGAGAATCACCAGACAGGCACTAAACTGGGAAATAAATGGACTGAGAAAGCGTGGATGTCCAACCCTAAAAAGAACGTCGAGAGAGGTCAGATCTGCTGGACTGGATTAAATCACTAATTCTGAGATGATTGTAGATGATTTACGGAATGGTGGAATAGATTGCGAGCCTTATATGACATATAGTTGAGCTACAGGACAATGACTGAATGAATGAATGAATTGTTTTATATCTTCTCAGGCACTTTCATTCATTTAGTAGTTCATTAAGTAGTTTGTGGCTTCAGGTGCCGTCTCCACAGTGATGTTGGGTGCAATGGATCCGCAACAACGCGAGACAATCCAAGGGCAATAAGTCATTATTTATAAATGTGTCAATAATATTAACTCCCCTATAAATGTAATTCGCCAATTAAAAAAATAAAACTAGCTGACTATTGGAGGTTAGGTGAGCAAGTAAAGACTATACGACCATGCTAGAGGCTTTAAATATCTCAGGACCTTACCTCCCACCCCCTTTCCCCTCACCCTTCCCTAACTTTCGGATGCACTATGAGTTTAACCCTCCAACCCATTCCCACAGAGAGCACTTGAGTTCGTTGTCCAACATGCCACAGCAATCCTCATCGCCGAACATTTGGATCTCAAAGCGTGAGCTGGATGCTCCGGTTATATGGTATTTACGTACACCGGAGTTTAGCTGTCAACACAACCCGACCACATAATAACAGATGACGACTGGACCCGCTTAAGTCTCCACATAAACTCTCACATACATATCCATTACATGACTAACCCGTTCATATTACAGGAAGACAACTATAAGACCACTATGGTCACACCCGGAACATTTTCACATTTCGAAACTATTCAAATTCAAAAACTGTTTTCAGTACTTTTTGGCATAATTTAAATACTAAAAATTTTAAAACAATAAATGGTGGTCCAAAGGACGTTGTGTATGGAAGCTCGCTCTCCTTCGAGATACGCCTAGCCAGATCAAAGGGAGACAGAACAAACAGGAAACACCAAGAAAGAAGAAGGAAGACATGCACCAGTGACAACAGGACGAGCGGTTTGATTCGGATGGAAGCATCAAGCCAGAAATGGCACAAACACTAATATTCAGTCACGAAAGTGACGCAAATAACCCAGACCACAAATATAGACGGAGACTGCTAGTAGCCTAGGCTAGCTAGCAGCAGTCTGAACGTGGTCGAGCTTTTCTTTTTTTTCCCCATAAGGACTTGGACTTGGACCAAGCCGTGGCATGTATGTGTATGCATGAGTGTGTGTATGCATGGGTGTGTGTATGCATAGAAGGTTTGATGGTGTGTATAGATGTGGATGTGAGAATGTGTGCGTGTATTAAGATGTACAAATGTGTTTATGCATGTGGGAGTATGAGTGTTTATGTGTATGTAGTGTGAATTGTAGGTGTGTAAGTATGAGCATGCGTGTGTATGAATGTATATTTGTATATGGAATGTATGTATGTGAATTCCATTCTTTGTATTTTTCAACCATTCACCCATGTATTTTGCTTTACGAGCATAGCACGATAGACAGTTGATGTGTACAAGACGAATGTCTGGAAGGGCCCTGCGTAGCAAACTGATGACCCTAGAAAATTAAAGTTTCGTTCATTCGTTCGTTCGTTCAAGTCTACACCTGACCCTATCACAATTGAAATGCATCAAGGGTCATACGTTTATTAGGAGGACTCATCTGAAGACACTGCTAGCCTCAACACCACAGTCAGTCACAGTTTTACTGGCACAGGTTACACCAGGCGCCTCTTGTCGTTACCAACGACCAGTTATAATCGCCACGTTTAACCAGCATCCCTGAAGGGGGAGCTTTGGGTTATAATTGTGACTAGGTTAGATGCGCGATATAAAAATGGCTTAGCATTAGACGGCACCAAGAGCCCCGAGAAGGATTCCTGCGTTGTTAATGCGATCAGACAGACATAAATACTGTCCCGACCGGCGACGAAGTCGTCTATTCGCGAGCCAAACAGCCACCCAGTCGTTAAAGTGTTTGTCCTCCAGACTGTAAAATCTTTTTTATTATTAGGGTGATCTAACCTTCAGGCTGACTCCAGTTACACAGTGTTGGTTGGTGAACTGGAAGACCTCTGAAGGCCAAGATCTAACCTTCAGGCTGACTCCAGTTACACAATGTTGGTTGGTGAACTGGAAGACTTTTGAAGGCCGAGATTTAACCCTGGGTGTCCAGACATTGAGATTCACAACGAACAAGTCCTAGAAGGATTTGTCTAGTGAAGTGAAGCCGATGTACAGACTTTACCCTCGAACTAGTACTGAAGTATCTTTTGTTAACCAGCAGACAGAATCTGTGTCTCTTGAACGTTACAGTGTCCATTTTTAACAATTTCTAATCATGCCTATTTTCTTTTCTAAATACCTGCTTTGTGCAGTCGCTTCTGTGACCCCATTGTGGGAAAACAAGAGGAGACTCACTGACGCTCCAGTTAGCATGTTGTAGGAATCGACTCATTAGGAACTTCATTCGAAGTCGGAATGCATCTGCCCGAGTAGCAAGGAACAAACAGCTGCACACAAATAAGCCAGTAAAACGGATGTACACGCAAAACTTAGGCCCTGGCACAAAGCCAAAGTCCAAATGGATTAATAACAAGGACTTCTCCAGGAACTTACATCCGATGAATATAGAAGAAAAAGGAGACTACAAGTGCTGCTGCTGTTACTACTACTAAACACTATTTCTACAATACTACTACACCTACTCATACCACTACAGCTGCTAGTAACAGCATATTCTTTCCAACACTTCGTTAGCTGCTTTACTGTCGGGGTTATTGTTTTAGTATATGAAATTGTCAATCATATATGTTGCTGTCATTGCACTCCAACCAGTTACCATTTATTTCGTTATCAGAAAACCTGAAATGAATCCAACCTTTAGGATTTTATGATTACTCAGCAAGCCGGATGTTGGGGAACTTGCTGCGCCTGCGCCGTCACCTGGTCTCCTTGGTTGTCACCTCTAGGTAAACTTTGTCTTGTCCAACTGTACGCCCTTCAATCTGTCTATTATTGCTGTAGTTTTGTGTCATCTTGTGAAATACTTATCGGAAAATTTTAGTTTAATCAATAAAACAACGTTTGGATACAATTTTGGATAAGAATTCCTGCCTACTGTGTATAATTTAGTATTATTTCCGCCTCTACCCTGTCTACCGGCTTTTGCAGGTCTGAAGTTTCTACACCCCCAGGGACAGATCAAACATGTACGCCTGTGCAAAATTCGCCCAGCCCTCTGCAAGATGCTTGGTAAGTTATTGTAGTCTATATCAGAGCGAATGCTTTGTTTAAAATGTCGAATTCAGTTAGTTTTCTACACTTGTTTAACTAGCAACTTGGCTGTGACTTGTGTACTGTGTGATTGATAATTGATGGACATAGTATTTGTATTTTTACCTATTTTGTAATTTTAAGACATTCATTATAAGTTTTTTTAAAGGTTGTGGTAGTGAGAATTGCCAAACACACTTTTTTGAATAGATATTCGATTTGTTATTGAAAAATGTGACTGTCTTCGTCTTCAAACAAGTGACCTATGAGGGTTACTGTGTCCAGAATCTGGTGCATTTTATTTTTTAAAAAAGATTATCATTGTATTATTGTATATTTGATAAACTCTCAAGAGTTCCTCTGTGGTTAGTAAAAGTATGCTAGCTCTAAGAAAATGTTTGACTTTAAGAGTCTTCGCTTCTGTACTATATTAATAAGATGTAGAATCATGTAGGCATTCCTAAACCTCATCCTTGCATTGCATGCATACATTAACTTATTTCGGAAGTCAGATATTATCTTTTTTAAAGTGGGATATGACAAGAAAGTAAAAATCATTCAGCTTTAGTTTTAGGCATTTCATCTGATCAGTAAAGTTCCTCTTTGAATATTGTTGTCATTCATAAATTCTATAAAACCTTCGTCATTGATCACTGGTACTGTCTAAAGAGGGATCATTGGCGTAACTGACTGAAATAGCTGGGGCATATAAAGAGAGTGACAGAAAGGCAAAAACTTTATACACTCAGAAGGAAATTTGTCGTAGATCATGAGACAGAACAAGAAGACAGTGGAGAAATTATATACAGGCAGATCTGCAGACACATTCGACAGCTGAGGAAAAGGCCAGTCACAAAGAGAAGGGAGGTGGCTGATATCTGCAGCGGTGAACCTCAAGGGCTCGGAAGGCTCAAGCTCATTCAATTGTAAACCCCCTGTTTGAGCAGTAGATCTGTACAAGCAGCTAGTTGATCACCCGAGTCATGGACCGAACCACAACCTGGCACACGGGTGGAACAGGAACATTCCTGACACAGAGACATAGTTTATTTCAAAATCAGTTGAAGTTTCTATGAATTGCATGTCTTTGTATTCTGGATGTCTTGTGTGAGTAGTTGAGAGTCTAATGAAAGGTCACTTTTGTTGTGAATGACTACTTTTCTGGGCTATCCTCCGAATAACGGTCGGTAAAGATGGCAGCCGGTAAAGATGGCGGCCGCAAAATATCCTTTCGAGCCACAGTCAATGTGACCTAATTTGCGGTTTTCCGGTGACTACCGCCACTGCGAGTCCCCCACGCCGGTCACACGGCGTGGATTGGGGCTAAACTAGATGGCAAAGACTCGAGAGCAAAGCTTCAGGAGATCGGAAGCTGCTGCTCGTGGGTCCTAGCCATCTAGTTTAGCCCCAGTCCACGCGACGTGGGGGACTCGTGGCGGTAGCTGCCAGAGAACCGCAAATTAAGTCGCTGGAAGTGCGCAATTGACATGTGACTGTGGCTCTAAAGGATATTTTGCGGCCGCCATCTTTACCGGCTGTTATTCAGAGAATAGCCCTTTTCTGGCAGAAGTTCTTAGAAATGTAAATCACACGACAATCTTTAGCTCATCATAACTGTTGGAATGCATTTATAAATTTTGTAATATATAAATGTTGGTGTTACTGAACTGTTTTATGAACACAACATACCTTGTTGCTTTTCCTCTTAGAGTATTCTTAGCCGATCAGCGTTAAGACCTCTAGGCAGCATTGTGGTTGTCCAACAGGAGGTAGGTTAACTCATGTGATTGCTATGTTATTGCTATGTGCACTGTTATGTTGTCAGCCTTTTCTTCTCTTGCACTTTTATGGAGCAGCCAACAGCGCCCACTCACTAAATGTAGGTGTCTTTTTAAATCCTTTGCTTATGCATTTCATAGTAGTTCTAAGATATAATTTTGTTTGTTGTTGTTCTAAGTGTGTGGTTGAATGGTGGGGGTGGGATGTCTTAAAGGTTTACACCTTGTTTAATATAAAGTAATAATAATTGTATGTGGAAAATTTAAAAATGCATAAACTATGCCTGTTATATTTCAGTTTTATTTTCAAAACAATCAGCTGTTTTATCACATGAACAGAATTTACCTTTCAATTTTTCTGTTAATGGAGCATCATATTTGATAAGTTTACTAATTCCGCTGTGAACAACAGTTGTTCTGATCCGAATGAGAACAACTACAGTACTCAGTTATTGTTAACAAAGCAACCACACAGTTCTCTGATGCCAACAAGTGTACACCTGGGCAGACAAGCATGCTTTGAAATCACAAACTCTGATCTCTGCCCTGCATCCAACTCGTCCTCGCTGGCTGCATCTATTGGTAGATGCACTAGCGGCCTGGCTGTGTGTGAAAGCTGTCATTGAATACGACTGCAGACAGTGCTGTAACTGACACCTGCACCAGTGTTGCCCGTATGTCTAAAAACAGCCTCCAATTGAGAAGTGGATAACTAACCAAAGTTTACAGATACTGAATGCAAAGAAGAAGTGGCTTGTTGAGGGATATTGCGGATGTCTTGCCTTATGAGAGGCACCATATCGGATATTGCGGATGTCTTGCCTTGTGAGAGGCACCATATCGGATATTGCGGATGTCTTGCCTTGTGAGAGGCACCATATCGGATATTGCGGATGTCTTGCCTTGTGAGAGGCACCATATCGGATATTGCGGATGTCTTGCCTTGTGAGAGGCACCATATCGGATATTGCGGATGTCTTGCCCTGTGAGAGGCACCATATCGGATATTGCGGATGTCTTGCCCTGTGAGAGGCACCATATCGGATATTGTAGAGCACAAGTTTTTCTGCCTGTCTCCACCTGGAACTGATAGAAGGGCTTGCATTGTTGTAGGTAATCTGTCCCTGTAGGGTCAAGTCAGTGGGTGGGGACTGAATGAGAAAATATGTTCCCCTGGTAATCTGTCCCTGTAGGGTCAAGTCAGTGGATGGGGACTGAATGAGGTAGAAAATATGTTCCCCTGGTTATCTGTCCCTGTAGGGTCAAGTCAGTGGATGGGGACTGAATGAGATAGAAAATATGTTCCCCTGGTTATCTGTCCCTGTAGGGTCAAGTCAGTGGATGGGAACTGAATGAGATAGAAAATATGTTCCCCTGGTTATCTGTCTCTGTAGGGCCAAGTCAGTGGATGGGGACTGAATGAGATAGAAAATATGTTCCCCTGGTTATCTGTCCCTGTAGGGTCAAGTCAGTGGATGAGAACTGAATGAGATAGAAAATATGTTCCCCTGATAATCTGGTAATTTTAATTTCAGCTTCATAGCAAACGGGTCACCCCATCTTTGCTCCGCTCCTGTGCTAACGAAAAACACACACAATGTTTATCAGTCCCTTGTGGAAAGACTGACAAACTGCTGTCTCAGCAAATCTACCATACACTCGCATTAAGCCAGAAAATATGTTCCCCTGTGTGACTTAGGGCTCAAAGACAACTTCTGGTAAGTTATGATGTCCAGAACAGAACAACCTCTGGTAAGCTATGATGTCCAGAACAGAGCAGTCCTCCTACTAAATCATTCTAGTTCAAATATGCAAACAAACAGGACACAAGTCTTCACATGAACCATAATCAGAAACACAAGGCAGTCCTCACACACACTGGCCGTTGGTTGCAAAAGGAGCAGTCTAAAAGCAATACATACTTTCTCAGATTTCAGTTGTGTTCATAACTCCTGCTTTGTTTCAGCCCCACACTGTTAGCGCCAGTTTGTCTAGCTACAGTGGCATCAGCGCCGTGTCCCAGGTGGCCAAGACTAGCCAGTTGTCATCTCTCCTCGGCCAGGTGAGTACAACATACAGCAAGGTGTGAAGAGATATGTGCACTTGTTGGATGGGCATTAGAATTCAAATTTTTGTAGGCATACTACCCCTATTGGTCCAGGTACTCTATTTGTAGAAATGGGGTGGGGCACAGACCCTGTGCCCTCAAAGGGTGTTCTAGGAGGTGAAATTATGGGAATTTCTCAGAGTGAATCGGCCTGAGAGGCGAGGTACCAACAGTCTGCATACAAGTAAGCCATGTCTGTAAAATGGATGTGCACACAAAAAAACTCAGAAGTTCTGGAATGAGACTTGGGAATTTACAGCCGGTGAATACAAACAAAGAAGAAGAATGCTGAAAGTCATTGACTGTCATCACTAGATAGATATTGACTTTCTGGTTAAAAATGCAGTTTGAGTTTTACATGATAAAACATGTAGTCCAGAGTTTGATGATGGCTGCTATACATGGAACCACTGATGAAGCATGTTTACTGTTTTGTTTTTAAAGACACGGGCACAGTGCTCGCTTTTGGTAATTCGCATTTTCTTTTTACTTTATTTTTGTAAATAGTTTTTCATTTATTTTGATAATGACATCCAGGGTTTACGAACAAATTTTTAAACGCTATTCTAATTAATAAAAGCACTCACTGCCACCATGTTATGCCCATAACACCAAGGCACACGCACATAACCTCCCTTTTCCTTATACATGTTGCAGATGCCTGTAACACCAAGGCACACACACACACACATCCTCTCTTTTACTTATACATGTTGCAGATGCCTGTAACACCAAGGCACACACACACACATAACCTCTCTTTTACTTATACATGTTGCAGAAGCCTGTAACACCAAGGCACACACACACACACATATACATCCTCTCTTTTACTTATACATGTTGCAGACTTCACATTTGCTGACTGCAGGTTAGGGCCAATGTTTTTTCCATGAAAATTGTCTACAGGTTTCCCTCCTTGTGTTAGGTCTTTGTAATTTGTTTATGTAAAACCTCAGGAAAGCAAAGCTGCCTAGTGGCTTCAGACAGGACTTTTCTTTCCTGTGCATCTTCAGTGCAGTTTATGTCAGAGATGCCACACTCAGGTCACTTTCCATCGTTCGTCTCCATGTTATTTTTGGGCGCCCCTTCTTTCTCTTTCTCTCTGGTGTCCAAGTGAAAGCTGTTTTGGCAGGTATATCAGAATTTATTCTCATGTAGTGGCCAAGCCATTATGAGTTTCTTGGTTTGTGACTTGAAGTAGTTTAGTGTTTGAGATTGTATCTGGCCAGCAAATGTTACTGATTCTACATAAACGTGTGGTGGAAAGCTTGAGCGCATCATTTTTGGATATTTCTCTAGAAGTCCTCGCTGTGCTGTCTGTATAATGTGATTAAATCTGGTTAGACCATCCACGTGGCTGTGGTATGGGACACCGACTTTCAGAACACTTCTAAACAGACCTATAAACTGTCATAGAAAGGGCATTCAAAACACGTTTAAACACTGGTTTTGACTTATATAAACTCTCACAGAAAGGGCATTCAGAACACATTTAAACACTGGTATTGACTGATAAACTCTCATAGAAAGGGCATTCAGAACACATTTAAACAGTGGTATTGACTTATATAAACTCTCATAGAAAGGGCATTCAGAACACATTTAAACAGTGGTATTGACTGATAAACTTTCATAGAAAGGGCATTCAGAACACATTTAAACAGTGGTATTGACTGATAAACTTTCATAGAAAGGGCATTCAGAACACATTTAAACAGTGGTATTGACTGATAAACTTTCATAGAAAGGGCATTCAGAACACATTTAAACACTGGTATTGACTGATAAACTTTCATAGAAAGGGCACTCAAAAGATTTTGATGCCCCCTTTCAACTTTGATTCACTGCTGCCAGTTTCCATTGTGTAGATGGCACACTGAAACAGAATGACTTAATCTGAGTGGGTTGAAGGCCTCTGCCCCATGGGTAAAGGAGGAGGGGTAGAAGGCAGAGAAGTTTAATAGAGATTTGGGTATGACCAGGGGAAGTTTAATAGAGATTTGGGTGTGACCAGGGGAAGTTTAATAGAGATTTGGGTGTGACCAGGGTTTCATATAATAGAAAAATGTTGTAGTCCAGAATTTGGTGATGGCACATGGAACCACTGATAAAAATATCCACTACCTTCAGATATCATCTCACTCTCTCTTCTCTCAAGGTTTGTGGCTACTTTGTATCATCTCTGATCCCCACAAATTGTGTCAGTGCTCCATTGTTGGGGGGGGGGGGGGGGGGGGCAGCCTGTCAGTTCACTGTTTAGTTAAATATTCTCTTATTCTCTGAATATCTGTAGTCTTGATGCTTGTATCAGTTTGTCACTGAGCTGTTTACTAAATGTTCTCTCAATATCTGTAGTCTTGATGCTTGTGAGTGCACTACTGCTCCATTGGCAGAGAGGCAGTTTGTCACTGAGCTGTTTACTGTTCTTTGAATATCTGTAGTCTTGATGCTTGTGAGTGCACTACTGCTAGCTTAACAAGAACATCCAGTTAACATGAACACATTTTTGATCCTAGCAGGGAGCTGAGTTCCGTCTTTTTAAAGGCAGATTGGAACATGATAGCGAGGTCATCATTTAAGTTTACTGCTGTGCCACATTTGCATCTCCCTCTGTTTTTATAGTCTCAATTGTACGCATTTGGATAGTTTATTGGGGCTTTGGCATCCACCCTCCTCTCCCCCCCCCCCCCCCCCCAACAAAAACATGATTTGTTAATGGATTTAGGTTCATAAAAAATGTGATATCATCTGTTAAATACAGGTCGTAGCTGTTCTGTGTATTCAGGCAGATATACGTGTCATGGTAGAAAATGTTGTAGTCCAGATGTCAATGATGGCTGCTGTACATGGAACCACTGATGACGCTGATACAATTTTACTGTCTTTTTCATGTTCTTGCCCTTTGATTTGTTCATTATATTTATTTAAGATTTGAATGTTTGAGTTGAGATATGAATCGTAGTTGTAGACCATGCTACATGTTCTGACATTCTCTGATTGTTGTCCTAGGTTCGAACTTTCCAGACTAGTGCTATCAAGCAGGACATTGATCAGGCTGCCAAGTACATTGGAGCTGGAGCAGCTACTGTTGGTGTGGCCGGCTCAGGTAGGTTCCTTCAACTGTGTCCTTAAGCCCAGCTCGCTAGCGTAGTTGGCTCAACCTGATAGCACAGTGACCATGTGACGAACTCTGTGTGGTCCGGGTTCGCGCCCGGGGGTAGGCAGAAAAGCCACATTTCTCCCAGATTTACGGTATTTATCATGGCATCAAGGCCGAAGGGTTGCGATATCTATACTACCGAGCCTAAGGGTTAACAACTCATGGCTTCTGGATACTTAAAAAAAAAAAAAAAAAAAAAAAAAAAAAACTGTCCTTATAGTCTATGCCATATGACTTTGGTAGACATGTCAAGTCAATCTACAAACTTGTTTACTTACACATGATTTTCTGTGCCATGATTTGTAGGTAGGTAATGGGTCGTAGTTTTCCAGGATCATTAGAGAGGGAAAAGATTTGATATTCTGTTAACAATAACATGATGATCATAGAGGACTGGTTCTCTTGTTTTTCCAGCCAATGCCTAGATATTAGTGACATATCATAGTGTGATGATCAAGTTTATAACTTTTTATCACAATAGCTTTGAGAACGACCTTAAAAGGCGAGGAAATCTTTGACTTTCTTACCTTATGTAAACTTTACTTTTACTGCTGTATGTATTTACCACTTTTGTGGGCAGGAAGCTGAAATGCTACAGACAGATTCTCTGAATAGCATGGACAAAGAAGAGAAGACATGCTGACATGCTACCAGATTTGAATATCAAGGAAGACTGGCAAATAAACAGCATCTTGTCTCGGAAGCTGCAGGTCTTGCTAGTCACACTCGCCATCCCCATGGGCTGTGAGTCTCATGCCTCCTCATAGTGCAATATAACTACTCTCATATGGAAAGGTGCCAATCAATCTTGTATTGGAAGCTGAAATATTTTGATCGTATCAAGCACTATAGCAGATTGGAAAGAGTAATAGCAGAAGACATGGTACCAGGAATGAGGCGCAGGGGTCGACCAACACAAAGATGGGTACAGGAAATAGACTCCTTGGATATGAAAGTACACAGCCTGGAGAGCTGACACATTTCTTTCAGGTAGACCGTGACAAGAGTGACATTCTGCCTACATAGGACCTGCTACATGATGATGAGGGGGGGGGGGGGGGGGCAAGCCTGAGATTTTGGGCTGCTCTATGCAGGATAGGATATTTTTTTGGTTGCTTTTTGGTCCAAAGAAAAACACCCATCACCTTGTTGGGGGTTGATCTCAGGTCTTCCACTTGAAAGCTTAACATTGTTACTACACTGCCAGCCATTTTCCCAAATAAAGTTTGCCCTTGCATGTAGATGTCTCATGAAATTCATCTTGGGCTGATGGTTTGGTGAATCTGGTAATGCTTGCAGCACTCAACACTTCCACTTCTTATCCGTTATCCACGATATCCTTAACACTAATCGGGAAAAACATCACTGCCTGGTTTTTTAAAATTACTGATTATCCTGCATTCGCATTTAGAGAAAACAACCAACAAACTTTATGTTGAATGGGATGTAAAGGTGTGGAACAACACATAGAGGTACCCCAGAGCTGCTGTCTACGCCCGTCATCTGCCACCCTAGAAACTGGCTTTTATGCCATATTGTTTTCTTTTGAAGTCTAGCACACCTGCTTGAGAGGTCAGGAGTCAAAACTGTCAACACACCACTCCAGTCCTGGAACGACTAAAGTCCAGAGGTGGATGAACAATCAGGACTTCCCACTAGAGAGAGAGAGGGAGTAGATGTAAGATCTGGGAATATGCAGAGACTGATAGCTAGTATTGAAATATGAGGATAATTGCTTGTGTGACAAGATTGTAAAGCTGTCAACTGTGACAAGATTGTAAAGCTGTCAACTGTGACAAGATTGTAAAGCTGTCAACTGTGACAAGATTGTAAAGCTGTCAACTGTGACAATATTGTAAAGCTGTCAACTGTGACAAGATTGTAAAGCTGTCAACTGTGACAAGATTGTAAAGCTGTCAACTGTGACAAGATTGTAAAGCTGTCAACTGTGACAAGATTGTAAAGCTGTCAACTGTGACAAGATTGTAAAGCTGTCAACTGTGACAAGATTGTAAAGCTGTCAACTGTGACAAGATTGTAAAGCTGTCAACTGTGACAAGATTGTAAAGCTGTCAACTGTGACAAGATTGTAAAGCTGTCAACTGTGACAAGATTGTAAAGCTGTCAACTGTGACAAGATTGTAAAGCTGTCAACTGTGACAAGATTGTAAAGCTGTCAACTGTGACAAGATTGTAAAGCTGTCAACTGTGACAAGATTGTAAAGCTGTCAACTGTGACAAGATTGTAAAGCTGTCAACTGTTTTGTCTGTTATCAGGTGCTGGTATTGGCAGTGTGTTTGGCAGTCTGGTGATCGGCTACGCCCGCAACCCAGGCTTGAAAGGACAGCTGTTCTCCTTTGCTATCCTGGGATTTGCCCTGTCCGAGGCTATGGGCCTGTTCTGTCTGATGATGGCCTTCCTGCTGTTGTTTGCTTTCTAACCGGCTGGCCCAGGAGTGTGGTAGATTTAGCCTTGTGTAGTACAGATTCAAGTGTTTGTACACAACTTTTCTGAGCTGTGATGGGTGAGAGTGGAGTGTGCATGTGTTAGATTGTACTTTTCATTTGGGAGGATGGAGATGAAGTATCCAGTGTGGGTCTACATATATATACTGTTTGATAATTCAAATTGTCACAACTTAGAGCGCCACAGAATGTAGGTGAGAGTAGCGGGCAGAAGTATTGATTGTTAATACAGTCTTGTAAGCTTCTGAGCTACTTGTTGACTACATGAGAGTTCTGACTCTGTTCCACTCTGATCATTCAGCAGATTCATTGTCCTAATTGTAGAAGTATATAAATATACATATAATTGTTTCATGTATAAACAGATAATTTGTGTGCAAGTTGATGTGGGGGTGATTACGTGGTTCCGAAAGGGACGGTTCTAAGCTTGCTTGTACTCATAGTGTTTAGGGGAACATGATTTCTGTTGTTGTCAGGTTACCGTAGTTAGACATACATTTTTGTTTCTGGTTTAGTTTGTGTGGTTGCTGTACCTAGGGCCAAGTTAGTTGTTGCAGCCTCACCGTTTGATCGCAGTTTGAGGTTGTGGAAGACAAAATAAACAGCTGTCTTTTTTTTGGTAATATGTTAGTTCTGTGTTTTTTTTATTGTTGTTACTGGTGTATTCAAATAGTGATTAAAAAGGATTATCATCACAGCACTGCAGACAGATCCTTAGGTGCACCGATCTCCTCCTCAAAACCTCAAGTGTAAAACGACTGATGAGGCCTGTTCTGAGTTGGTTAATGAAATGTCTTGTTCCCTTATTGAAATGTTTATTTCTTGCAGCCCCAGGCTGCACTCCCATGTCTAGACAGGGATATGGAGTCATGTCCTTTGGTGTTCCCCACGATACGGTAAGTGCAGCGCAGCGCATGACATTGATAACATCACTTCTGTCTAGTACTCGACCAGCCATAGCAATCGAAGTGCCAGCAAGATAGTCTGCTCACTCTTTCCCTTGAACGCCTGCATAACCTGGCACAAAGATGCTTTTAGGGCAGCTATTCATGAAATGCTGCAATCCAGCTTGGACTTTTAAAAAAAAAACAACAAATTGGAGTCACTAAAATGCATACGTGTGTAAACTTTTGAGTACCAAGCCATGCTACTGCTATTGTTACAGCCATAGTTTCCCAGCAAAGGCGCCGTACATCTCCTTGATGGCTTTCCCCTTGAGCTTACTGTGAAGGCCCATCTGTGTAAACATAGCATCACCTTCATCTGTTTTCGTCTATTAGTGTTCTGCAAGTCAACGCTGCCAGGAATCTGCTCTCTACAGCTTCCATCAAGTGTGATGTGGACTATATAATATTATTGTCCCCCGTGTGGGTTCCGGGGCCCTTTTGTGGGGAAAACAAGAATAGACTCACTGCCTCCCCAAAAGCATGTCGTAAGAGTCGACTAACTGGGGAGCTTCCTTTGAAGTCTGAGTGCATCTGCCTGAGAGGCAAGGAGCCAGCAGTCTGCATTCAATGAAATCAGATCTGTAAAACTGATGCACACGCAACACTCAGGTTCTGGAGCAGGACTGCAGTCCAGAAGTGGACGAACAACCAGAACTTTACGCCAGAGTGTACAGCTAGTGAACGCCAAGAAGAAGAAGAATATTGTTTGGAAAAGAAGGCATAATTATCCATTCAATTCTAAAATTCATATCAGTAAGGCGGCAAACGTGTTCTATGGCATTCTCAGCCGGACCCATCCAGGATTTGCCCTTTTTTTGCTTGAATAATTCCTTATAAAGTGGGTGTCGATGGTTTGACTTGACTTTAATGAAAGCAACAGCCCTGGATAGCTTGATTGTTTTCCATTGCCTCGTTTTCAATTGTGTCCAGTCTGTTCATCTGTCTGGTGCTGAGTGTCCAGATGACCAAGGTATTTTATTTTCAATGGCGGAGAGACCTAACACACGATACAACATTACAAGTAGCCGTTGCTCAAAGTTTGCAGCTCCCATAACTTTTATTGCGGAGAGACCTTTCTTGGCTTTGGTTATAATGTGGTCTACGTGTTTTTTAAATGCTAAGCATCTGTCAAATGTTACACCCAGGTATTTCATGGAATCAGATCTTCATGTCAGCGCCACAGAGTTTTACTATCGACATTGGTGTTTGAGAGAGGGGATTATTGAATGAGAACCAGGTGACTGTCGCTTTTGATGGATTAATTGTTGCCCCTGAGGTGTTGCACCAGGATGATGATCTAATTCCTGTTGTAGACCCGAAACAATGTCATCTCTGGTCCTGTCCTGTCGGTACACGAGGATGTCATCCGCATATGACAGAGTTCTTCCTCTGCCAGCCGCTCGGTTGTTCTCCTGTGATCTTGACTGTTTGATCTTGTGTGTTCTAGGTCCCCATTGTCAGGGGAAACGAATAAACCCACTGCCTACCCAATTACATTTTGTAAGAGGTAACTAATTAGAAGCTTCCTCCCCAAGTCAATTTGCCTGAGAGGCAAGGAACCAACAGTCTGCAATCAGTTTTGCATGCACATACGTTTTACATGTGTGGTTTTGTGTGCAGACTAGTCCTGACCATCTGTCATATGCAGTCTTTGAAGGAAATGCCAATCCTTTTGACCTAGATCAAACCCCTGAAGGGGAGGGGGGGGGGATATATTTCTAGGATATAGTCCTTGATGGGTTGACCACCAGCACATTTATCTCTGCCTAGTTCTGACAGTTCAGTCAGTGACTTTGTCTCTTCACAAACATCTACATGGCAAATACTACTTTTTAAAGACCACGTCATGTGGCATTGGTAGTTGTGTCTATCCACAACCTTCTGTCTCATGAACTTTGAACCAGCTCTGATACAGATGATCCTCCATACCATGATGTCAAACTGTCCTGCGTCTTTATCTTTTGATCTGCCTCCCCTCCCCTCCAACTATCCTACTGTCATGATGTCCTCGTTTCCTCCTCTCATGATCACAGAATATAGATTGCCTCTTTCTGATGTGGGCAATCAGTTCTCTTCTACTTTTTTTTCGAGATATTGTCATTGCACTTTTCATCAGTCCAGGGTATTCTCGTCATTTGTCTACAAACCCAAAAACTAATTATTTGGACATTTTGGGACAAATTTCCTGTGCACTGGATCAAATGTGATTTAAAAAATGTGAACTGAGAATGAGCAAATTACGATTCAAACTATGGCTAATTGAAATGGTCTGTGAATCTAAAACTAAATATTATGTGCAGTGAAAATGTTCCACAGCAGCAGTTCTCAAACTGGGTGCCGCAGCAGTAATCAAGAATTTCTCAGAATCTGCTTGAGATCAGCGAAGACAACAGTTCAAAACAGAAATACCATGGAAAAAACCCAAAAAGAGTTATCGTTGCAGGTGTATTCAGAAAACGATGCAGTTATCAAGGCTGCAGTGCATTCTCAACGTACGCTTGCAAAAACTTTTTTTCCCCCACAGAAACAACCTTCAAATGATTTGAGGGTACAGCTAACAAAACTTCCCATAAACATACAGAAACATTCAGTTTTATTTATCGCATTCAAGACCACTGAACGTAAAATGTCCACCGTTCTTTTCTTTTCCTAAGTATTCAAACTGCTTTGAGGGAAGATGTGCTGCAATTTTTGTTTCTCCACCTGACAAGGGTGCCGTGATGACAACAACATTTGGGAATCGCTGGTCTTCTGTGTTCAGGAGAAACCAACTTTGTTGATATTATTGTTCCAATTATTTTATATTTATTCTACACACACAATGTTTTTTGGCATCTTTCTGTCTTTCCAAATGACAGTTCCTGCTCAGTGTTGAATTATTGTTGTCAAAACCAATTTGTATATCCCTGGCAATGTTCTATACTTTAACTCTTACTTGGATAAGAGGAATTTCTGGTGAATTTTCCTTATCAGGTTAGCACAATATATTGTGCTGTAGAAGACAAGTATGGCAATGGTAAGCACAACAAGCAAGACCTGCTGATGTTAAAACTTCTTGCACATCCAGAGCATGGGGTTTTCAGGAACATTGCAGCTGGGGGGGGGGGGGGTTTCAAGAACATTGCAGCTGCAGCATGGGGAATTTCAAGAACATTGCAGCATGGTGAATTTCAAGAACATTGCAGCATGGTGAATTTCAAGAACATTGCAGCATGGGGAATTTCAGGAATGCTGCAGCCTGGGGGGGGGGGGGGGGTTTACAAGAATATTGCAGCGGCATCATGGGGGAATTCAGGAGCACTGCAGCTGCAGCATATCTTTAATGTGCTGCTTCTCAGACGTTCAGCTCTAACCCTGTGTGAAATACTGCTCTTCTTTATTCCCATTCCATTCTTGATTTTAGCCCTCAGTTTAACATGGTCCATGACATCTTGTTCCCACGAGTCTACCTCAATATCTGTATCATTCATTTCCTGTTTGCACATATATTTCTAGGATATAGTCCTTGATGGGTTGACCACCAGCACATTTATCTCTGCCTAGTTCTGACAGTTCAGTCAGTGACTTTGTCTCTTTACAAACATCTACATGGCAAATACTACTTTTTAAAGTCCACGTCATGTGGCATTGGTAGTTGTGTCTATCCACAACCTTCTGTCTCATGAACTTTGAACCAGCTCTGATACAGATGATCCTCCATACCATGATGTCAAACTGTACTGCATCTTTATCTTTTGATCTGCCTCCCCTCCCCTCCAACTATCCTACTGTCATGATGTCCTCGTTTCCTCCTCTCATGATCACAGAATATAGATTGCCTCTTTCTGATGTGGGCAATCAGTTCTCTTCTACTTTTTTTCGAGATATTGTCATTGCACTTTTCATCAGTCCAGGGTATTCTCGTCATTTGTCTACAAACCCAAAAACTAATTATTTGGACATTTTTGGGACAAATTTCCTGTGCACTGGATCAAATGTGATTTAAAAAATGTGAACTGAGAATGAGCAAATTACGATTCAAACTATGGCTAATTGAAATGGTCTGTGAATCTAAAACTAAATATTATGTGCAGTGAAAATGTTCCACAGCAGCAGTTCTCAAACTGGGTGCCGCAGCAGTAATCAAGAATTTCTCAGAATCTGCTTGAGATCAGCGAAGACAACAGTTCAAAACAGAAATACCATGGAAAAAACCCAAAAAGAGTTATCGTTGCAGGTGTATTCAGAAAACGATGCAGTTATCAAGGCTGCAGTGCATTCTCAACGTACGCTTGCAAAAACTTTTTTCCCCCACAGAAACAACCTTCAAATGATTTGAGGGTACAGCTAACAAAACTTCCCATAAACATACAGAAACATTCAGTTTTATTTATCGCATTCAAGACCACTGAACGTAAAATGTCCACCGTTCTTTTCTTTTCCTAAGTATTCAAACTGCTTTGAGGGAAGATGTGCTGCAATTTTTGTTTCTCCACCTGACAAGGGTGCCGTGATGACAACAACATTTGGGAATCGCTGGTCTTCTGTGTTCAGGAGAAACCAACTTTGTTGATATTATTGTTCCAATTATTTTATATTTATTCTACACACACAATGTTTTTTGGCATCTTTCTGTCTTTCCAAATGACAGTTCCTGCTCAGTGTTGAATTATTGTTGTCAAAACCAATTTGTATATCCCTGGCAATGTTCTATACTTTAACTCTTACTTGGATAAGAGGAATTTCTGGTGAATTTTCCTTATCAGGTTAGCACAATATATTGTGCTGTAGAAGACAAGTATGGCAATGGTAAGCACAACAAGCAAGACCTGCTGATGTTAAAACTTCTTGCACATCCAGAGCATGGGGTTTTCAGGAACATTGCAGCTGGGGGGGGGGGGGGGGGGGGTTTTCAAGAACATTGCAGCTGCAGCATGGGGAATTTCAAGAACATTGCAGCATGGTGAATTTCAAGAACATTGCAGCATGGTGAATTTCAAGAACATTGCAGCATGGGGAATTTCAGGAATGCTGCAGCCTGGGGGGGGGGGGGGGGGGGTTTACAAGAATATTGCAGCGGCATCATGGGGGAATTCAGGAGCACTGCAGCTGCAGCATATCTTTAATGTGCTGCTTCTCAGACGTTCAGCTCTAACCCTGTGTGAAATACTGCTCTTCTTTATTCCCATTCCATTCTTGATTTTAGCCCTCAGTTTAACATGGTCCATGACATCTTGTTCCCACGAGTCTACCTCAATATCTGTATCATTCATTTCCTGTTTGCACATATTTACATGCTTATACTAGAAATCAGTTACTCGTATTTACAGAAAAACACATTGATATATATATATATATATATATCACAAGATTTTAAATCATCAAGTTACACAATTATAACATAAGCTGCATGTCTGGTTAACCTCATGCCCCTGTGGGTTCCAGTGCAAAGACATTCTAGTTATGTGGTTATCCTGTTTTCTCAGTGTGTGTCCTATCCAACGCCAGCGTCTTTTCCTCACCTCTTGGTCCACTGGAGCCTGTTTAGTTCTCTCCCAAAGTTCTTCTACATTAGTTATTCTATCATACCATTTTATTCCCTCTATTCTGCGCAGGCACCAGTTAATGAATGTCTGTAATTTATTAGTAATTTTGCCTTGGTTGTTCTCCATGTTTGTTTCCGCCCCATACAATAGTACTGATTTGATATTAGAATTAGAAATTTTTAGTTTAGTATTTCTTTTAATTTCTTTTGACCTCCACAAATTCCCTAGTGCTATGAAAGCCCCTCTTGCCTTTTGTATTCTTATTTTAATATCCCTATCAGTTCCTCCATCTTTATCTACATTACTGCCCAAATAGGTGTACGATTCCACTGTCACCTCACTGTCTGATATAATCTCTCTTTGTCACCTCACTGTCTGATATAATCTCTTTAGCACCTCCTCAGGTCACCTAACTGTGAGTGTGCAACATTAATGATGGCAAATGAATACAGTTTATTTCAAATAATATGAAATTTATAAACAAACAAAAAGATAATATCTGTATGTGGTTAGGGCCACCACAGAGCCACTTTGGACATTGCTTAACTTGGAGAGGGGGTGGGGGGGGGGGTGAATCAGCCCACCCAACTCAGGTTGTTAAAGTTCATCTTAAAGAATTGTAGAAGGGGCCCAAAGTGCCTGAGCCCCTAGGCTCCCATGTTACAACCGGCGTATACTTACACCAGATACATGTTTAGATTTTCATCAGTATTCCGTGATGGGTTTGACTGACTCTGTGGTCAGTGGATTAAAGGATGTCAGCACCCTGGATGGGTGCTCAACAAAGAACAGCTATAACAAAACACTTGACCCGCAGGGGTTGTGAAGATGTATCAATGGAAGCACTGGCACGCAAGACCTGCCATCTTTCAGATTGCTGAGCCAGTGTACAGTCATTTAGTCCTGTCCGTTCCTTGACGATGTAATTCAGGTTCTACTTTGCCGTGCGCTCCTCCCCCACCCCGCCGCCCCCCCCCTTTTTTTAACCACTCCCCGATGTTGTTTGAAGTATGGTCTTTGTAACTGAATCATGGCCCATCTCCTATACTATTTATGGAACATTCACACATTGGATTCTTCTATACGAGAGGTGGTCATCTTAGGAAAGGTCATCTCAGTGTCCGGACTGTTGACACTGCCCGGCAGACTGCTGATATCATCGTCGTCGTCTGCTGCAGCTGGGCAGGGCAATGATGTCGGGCGGGAAACCTCTTCTAACTCGCTGGATGAATCTCTCCCTGAAACCACAGAAGTGATCCATACATTGGTTTAGGGTTTATACAACGGATCAACATCATGACGTAAGTGTAGCATTAGAGGTCAGTACCAACAGTCTTCACTCAAAAAGCTAGATCTGCAAAGCGGACGTGTGGCAAAGCAACCCTCGTGTCACGACAAGAGACCAACTTTCAGAAGTGACCAAAAAACCAAGACTTGCCGTTAGAGTTGGCAGTCAGTGAGTACAGAGAAAAACATTTAAAAAGTAACCCTTTTCTTTTCACCAGCAGAGATTTTACAAACATAAATTAATTCGTACCAGCAAAGGCTGTACACATACATTGTGTTTTATACCAACATAAATTGTGTGTGTGTATGTATATATATATATGCATAGACATCTTCATCGCAAACCAGCAATGATTGTACATATAAAAGCCTAACTTACTGATTTAAGATTCAACAACGTAGCACACAGAGCATACTCATAAGTGCTCCGTCTTCCTTGTCCATATTAACAATGCTTAATATACAAATATTTGACACAAACAAGTTTTCAGATATCAATAAACATTGTACGTAAAATTGTTTTTTGATCAACAGGCACCGACTTACCTTCGTCTTCTCCAAACCATTCCACGTCATCATTGCTCCTTCCTTTGGTCGATTTCTTTGCTTCTTTCTTTTCCAAATCTTTCTGCTTCTTTTCTTCCTGTTTCACCTTTCTTTCTTCGTCTTTCAACCTTTTCTTCTCATTCTTCTCCCGTTTAAGATCTTCCCTTTTCTGCTTTTCCTCTTCTTTCTTTGTTTTGCTTTCTTCTTTCTTTCTTTTCTTTCTCTCCTGTAGTCTGTGCATGCTGGCTTGTTTCAGCATGCGAATCTTAGTGGTCCCGAACTTCTCGTAAAGTTTTCTGTGAATAAAGAAATAGTACAGGTGAGGCAGATACATCCTTTATGTGCTGATGAAGGCTAATCGCCGCAACGTCCTTTGTTTGTTTATTGTGATCGATTTTGTAAAGCTAACATAAACTAATTGTTGTTTCATACCAACTTTTTCTCTTCCCTATAATTTTCTGCTCCTTATAAAAACCACAGTAGAGACGAGCACTACACCCTGACGGTAGATCTACTTCTATATTCCCACTATAGTCTAGTATTATATTCCCACCGTAGTCTAGTATTATATTCCCACCGTAGTCTAGTATTATATTCCCACCGTAGTCTAGTATTATATTCCCACTATAGTCTAGTATTATATTCCCACTATAGTCTAGTATTATATTCCCACCGTAGTCTAGTATTATATTCCCACCGTAGTCTAGTATTATATTCCCACTATAGTCTAGTATTATATTCCCACTATAGTCTAGTATTATATTCCCACCGTAGTCTAGTATTATATTCCCACTATAGTCTAGTATTATATTCCCACTATAGTCTAGTATTATATTCCCACTATAGTCTAGTATTATATTCCCACTATAGTCTAGTATTATATTCCCACCGTAGTCTAGTATTATATTCCCACTATTATATTCCCACTATAGTCTAGTATTATATTCCCACTATAGTCTAGTATTATATTCCCACCTAGTATTATATTCCCTATAGTCCCCACTATAGTCTAGTATTATATTCCCACTATAGTCTAGTATTATATTCCCACTATAGTCTAGTATTATATTCCCACTATAGTCTAGTATTATATTCCCACTATAGTCTAGTATTATATTCCCACTATAGTCTAGTATTATATTCCCACCGTAGTCTAGTATAGTCTAGTATTATATTCCCACTATAGTCTAGTATTATATTCCCACCGTAGTCTAGTATTATATTCCCACTATAGTCTAGTATTATATTCCCACTATAGTCTAGTATTATATTCCCACTATAGTCTAGTATTATATTCCCATTCCCATTATATTCCACCGTAGTCTAGTATTATATTCCCACTATAGTCTAGTATTATATTCCCACTATAGTCTAGTATTATATTCCCACCGTAGTCTAGTATTATATTCCCACCGTAGTCTAGTATTATATTCCCACTATAGTCTAGTATTATATTCCCACTATAGTCTAGTATTATATTCCCACTATAGTCTAGTATTATATTCCCACCGTAGTCTAGTATTATATTCCCACTATAGTCTAGTATTATATTCCCACTATAGTCTAGTATTATATTCCCACCGTAGTCTAGTATTATATTCCCACCGTAGTCTAGTATTATATTCCCACTATAGTCTAGTATTATATTCCCACTATAGTCTAGTATTATATTCCCACTATAGTCTAGTATTATATTCCCACCGTAGTCTAGTATTATATTCCCACCGTAGTCTAGTCCCACTAGTATATTATATTCCCACTAGTATAGTCTAGTATTATATTCCCACCGTAGTCTAGTATTATATTCCCACTATAGTCTAGTATTATATTCCCACTATAGTCTAGTATTATATTCCCACCGTAGTCTAGTATTATATTCCCACTATAGTCTAGTATTATATTCCCACTATAGTCTAGTATTATATTCCCACTATAGTCTAGTATTATATTCCCACCGTAGTCTAGTATTATATTCCCACTATAGTCTAGTATTATATTCCCACTATAGTCTAGTATTATATTCCCACCGTAGTCTAGTATTATATTCCCACCGTAGTCTAGTATTATATTCCCACCGTAGTCTAGTATTATATTCCCACTATAGTCTAGTATTATATTCCCACCGTAGTCTAGTATTATATTCCCACTATAGTCTAGTATTATATTCCCACCGTAGTCTAGTATTATATTCCCACCGTAGTCTAGTATTATATTCCCACCGTAGTCTAGTATTATATTCCCACCGTAGTCTAGTATTATATTCCCACCGTAGTCTAGTATTATATTCCCACTATAGTCTAGTATTATATTCCCACCATAGTCTAGTATTATATTCCCACCATAGTCTAGTATTATATTCCCACCGTAGTCTAGTATTATATTCCCACCGTAGTCTAGTATTATATTCCCACTATAGTCTAGTATTATATTCCCACTATAGTCTAGTATTATATTCCCACTATAGTCTAGTATTATATTCCCACTATAGTCTAGTATTATATTCCCACCGTAGTCTAGTATTATATTCCCACTATAGTCTAGTATTATATTCCCACTATAGTCTAGTATTATATTCCCACTATAGTCTAGTATTATATTCCCACTATAGTCTAGTATTATATTCCCACTATAGTCTAGTATTATATTCCCACTATAGTCTAGTATTATATTCCCACTATAGTCTAGTATTATATTCCCACTATAGTCTAGTATTATATTCCCACCGTAGTCTAGTATTATATTCCCACCGTAGTCTAGTATTATATTCCCACTATAGTCTAGTATTATATTCCCACTATAGTCTAGTATTATATTCCCACCGTAGTCTAGTATTATATTCCCACTATAGTCTAGTATTATATTCCCACTATAGTCTAGTATTATATTCCCACTATAGTCTAGTATTATATTCCCACTATAGTCTAGTATTATATTCCCACTATAGTCTAGTATTATATTCCCACCGTAGTCTAGTATTATATTCCCACCGTAGTCTAGTATTATATTCCCACCGTAGTCTAGTATTATATTCCCACCGTAGTCTAGTATTATATTCCCACCGTAGTCTAGTATTATATTCCCACCGTAGTCTAGTATTATATTCCCACTATAGTCTAGTATTATATTCCCACTATAGTCTAGTATTATATTCCCACTATAGTCTAGTATTATATTCCCACTATAGTCTAGTATTATATTCCCACCGTAGTCTAGTATTATATTCCCACTATAGTCTAGTATTATATTCCCACTATAGTCTAGTTATATTCCCATTATATTATTCCCACCGTAGTCTAGTATTATATTCCCACCGTAGTCTAGTATTATATTCCCACCGTAGTCTAGTATTATATTCCCACCGTAGTCTAGTATTATATTCCCACCGTAGTCTAGTATTATATTCCCACTATAGTCTAGTATTATATTCCCACTATAGTCTAGTATTATATTCCCACCGTAGTCTAGTATTATATTCCCACTATAGTCTAGTATTATATTCCCACTATAGTCTAGTATTATATTCCCACTATAGTCTAGTATTATATTCCCACCGTAGTCTAGTATTATATTCCCACCGTAGTCTAGTATTATATTCCCACCGTAGTCTAGTATTATATTCCCACCGTAGTCTAGTATTATATTCCCACTATAGTCTAGTATTATATTCCCACCGTAGTCTAGTATTATATTCCCACTATAGTCTAGTATTATATTCCCACCGTAGTTTAGTATTATATATATTATATATTTGCTAGGGGATATACTGAAGATGGGATCCGAGTGCTTATGGGCTTGTTTGATGTGCAATGGGGATAATCTGCCGATTAATTAGCTAACTAGCCAACTAATTAACTAACTAGCTAACTAGCTAGCTTACTAGCTAAATAACTGACTGACTAACTGACTGACTGACTGACTGACTGACTAACTAACTAACTTACTGACTGTCTGACTAGATAATTTACTAACTAAATAACTAACTGACTGACTAGATAACTAACTAACTAAATAACTAACTGACTGACAGACTGACTGACTAGATAACTAACTAACTAAATAACTGACTGACTGAATAGATAACTAAATAACTAACTGACTGACTGACTAACTAACTAACCTCGCAGTGAAGCTCTTTTTCCGCTGGATAATTTCATACGTGATGAAGGCCATGACGATCAGGAGGAAGAGCGTTACAGCCATTCCAACAACTGAGGAGAGAAGAGCGTTACAGCCATTCCAACAACTGGGGAGAGAACGGGCCTAGCTAACTATTGTCCACATGTAATAGGTCTATGACGACCAAAATATCCTATACTGAAGTGGGGCATCCCACTGATATTTTGTGCTGAAAACGGGACATCCCTCTAATACTTTGCGCTGAAAACGGGACATTCCACTAATACTTTGGCTGAAAACGGGATGTTTGGTCAAGGTAACTATGACAAAGGTTTGCCTGTCGACCTGCATCGAGGCTGATTCTTTTCCTGGTTATATCTGACTAGATTTAATTGCCCGGCTTCGCCCGGGATAGTCAATGTCTGATTCTCCCGTCCTCTGCCTCATCTTGGTCTCTAACGCTGCCGCATTTTTAGTAACTGCCCTAAGTGCACCCTAGGAATCCCTAATAGTGCTAACACAGTTATTTATGCACTTTGTGTCATCGGGTGTTTATCGCTTGTGCGATGTTCAACTAGCTGATCGCTAGTGTGCAACTACCTACCTACATAATAATAGGTACATACTTCTTCCCCCCACCCCCAGGACATCACACAAGCGATAAACACCCGATGACACAAAGTGCCAACATTTGAATGAGGATCACCCTGGAGAGATCCCGAAAACCGCGTTCAACCATTAGACCATATTTATGGTCGGGCTATATTGCGGCCCCTGGCAAGAGCCAGAGTAGCGCAGGTATTAAATGTTCCGCCAATATGGCGATAGCAGCCCGCTACCCGTGGAAAGCTCAACCACCTACATCGTCACAACAACACAAGTCATGACCAGCCAGAGAACGATAAACAATCGGAAACTGCTTGCAAGACATGAGACTAAAATGGATTCTAAAACATTGTAAAACTAAAATTTAAATGAATGGTGTTCCCCTTGACTTTTCCATCTCCCCTTTCCGTGTTTTGTGCTTTCTTTTCTGTCCCTCTTACATTTTATGTGTTGCATTTTGTTTCTACGGCAACACACCTAAAAACACTATAGACGCATATATTTAAAGTAGAAAATAAAGGGGTACCACCCCCAAATTTAAAAAAAAAAAAAAAAAAAAAGAGTAGGGCTTCAAAAAACGAAAAATTGTATCCTACAAAAGGATGACAAGATAGATTCATAGTATAGATATTGGCTTTGAAACAGCCTAAAATACGTGTACAGTCCCCATATGCAATATCATTTCTGCAATTTGAAGCACCACCATGGCTTCTGTCGGGGGCCCTGAATATAGCCGATTCATAGATATGGCCTAGCCATAGATATGGCCTAGCCATAGATTTAGCCTAACGATTGAAAGGGGTTTCTGGAACCTTTCCACGGGTGATCATCATTCGCATGGTGGCACTTTGTGTCACCGGGTGTTTATCGCTTGTGTGATGTCCTGGTGGGGTATAAATACCTTCCTACCTAATAATAGGTACATACTGAATTGTTCCATCTCGGTGTGGGAAGATAGTTTCGTTATTCTGAAGCTTCCTACCTAATAATAGGTACATACTGAATTGTTCCATCTCGGTGTGGGAAGATAGTTTCGTTATTCTGAAGCCCCATGCTGGCTGTTTCCGGGGGTCCTAAGATAACCTAACTGTTGAACGAGGTTTATGGGACCTTTCCACGGATGATCCTCATCCGCATGGTGGCACTTTGCGTCAACAGGGTGTTTATCGCTCAGTGTGATGTCATGGTGGTACTTTGCATCAACAGGGTGTTTATCGCTTAGTGTGATGTCATGGTGGTACTTTGCATCAACAGGGTGTTTATCGCTCAGTGTGATGTCATGGTGGCACTTTGCGTCAACAGGGTGTTTATCGCTCAGTGTGATGTCATGGGGGCATTTTACATCAACAGGGTGTTTATCGCTCAGTGTGATGTCATGGTGGGGGAAAGGGGAGGGGGGAACGTTAGTCAAATAGGTACCAGAAAAAAAAAAAAAAAAAATTTCCTACTAATAAAGGGAACCGAAGTAATCTGGTAGTCTTGTAGTCTTAGTTTCAGCTTTATAGCAAACGGGTCACCCCATCTTTGCTCCGCTCTTGTGCCTACGAAAAACACACAGAATGTTTATCACAGCCCCTTGTGGAAAGATTGACAGACTGCTGTCTCAGCATATTTAGCATACACACGCATTAAAGCATACGGTAGCCATATAAAGTGCTAATACAAACATCCGACATTAGAAATGCAGTTCATCCTTTATGGTAGCAGAAGTCACCAACAGATCAGCAACTGCCCACACGATCAATTTTAATCACATACGGGCACCACCAACATTGCGACGACATCATGGCGCCATTTTCTGAATCTACAATTCACACCACCACGTTGGTCACAGTCGAAAAAACATTCCAAATAAAATCCGCAGCTCACAGTGTCACGCCATGCATTCAACTCAGAATCTGGGCAACGAAACTATATCCAGTCTACAAATAGAGCGAAAATGCATCGGCCACCGTCGGGCAGAAGCAAAAAAAAAAAAAAAAAAATTGCCTTTGCTCCAAACAGTGACCTGCCTAGAATCCATTTTGACCGGAAGGGTGAATCCTGAATAATCTATAGAAATATGGATCCAATACCCTTTAAACAGTGCATCATTGACAAGAACAAGAACCCTTGACTTTTGATTATCTCAGTGATAGTTATATAGCTACTGTGGTGTCATTTAAACATATGATAAATAAAAATATAATTGTTTCATAAACTGAGCAGTTAAAAATCATTCTAGGACAGGCCCAGCAAACCGTTAGAGGATTTAATTGTTCAAACTAAGAAGCTCAAGAAAATGGGAAATCCAAACTAACTACATCTAACTCCCATTTGCAAACGCTTTACAGCAAAGAACTGAATGAACACAAAGTAGTAAAAGAATGTAACTGGGCTCTACTGATCTAGACCATCATCCCAGTTGATCGAGACAGACTAACTAACCTAACAACATGTCTTCTCAAACACTTACAATCCCATCTGGTCACGACCATCCCAGTTGATCGAGACAGACTAACTAACCCAACAACAAGTATTCTCAAACACTTACAATCCCATCTGGTCTTGCAGTCGCCGGAGGAGCATCTGAAAATATGGAGAAACAAAAAATGTTGACCAAAATGTCTTTAATAGGCTTTTATGAAGATAACTTTTGTATGTATATATTTCTAGTAAAAAATGTGTCTTTACTTTATATTTGTGTTCATTTATATTGTGTGGGTTGTGTTTTCATGTTTTTTATGTGAACCTGTTTATATCTTTTTATTGAATATATTGTAGTTAATTTCAGGGTTGTTAGATTTTCAAAATTGTTATTGTTTGTTGTTATGTTTATTTTATGTGGACTTTTACGTGGACCTGAGATACGTAGTGGCATAGGGGCTAGACGCTCAGCTGCCAGTCTAAAGGGTCTACCAAGGGTTCAAATCCATATCGATAATCCTTTTTTCTTTCCAAAATTGACTTTGCTCCAGTATCAAGCCAGCCCAAACAAGGTACGCGGTAATGTAATGGGAAGTAAAGGCGGCCGGCGTAATGCTGACTGCATCAACAGCCACTTGCTGATTGGTCTATATACAACAGGTCTAGCACTGTATGCTCAATGGGTTAAAAGAGTGCAGATGGTCTTTTATCATCATCATCATCAATTTTCACTTCTGCCGTTAAGCGACGTGGGAAGGAATAGTTTGCGATCCACTGCTTGATGGGCAGCGATGGTTCATTCTGTGTCGACGTAGAAGCTCTTTAATTTTATCAATCTATTTTCTCCTAGGGCGGCCTCTTGCTTTAATTTCAGATTTTTTCAGGCATAGCGTCCTTGTTTGGCGGTCGGGCCAAATACTAATAGTTATTTCCGCATACACTGCGATGGACTGAAATAACTCTCTTATTAACACAATAGTTGCCTTTGTTTAAATCTGTCGTAGCGGAAGAAACTGCGACCCGGTTGCGTGGTACAGCAGCTGGCAAGGTCTTTGCCTGCTGACTCGACCGAGGCATTATAGCAGCGATTCTCAAACTTTGTGCGTATGCTGGTGGTGCCGCGGCGAAAATCAGGGAAAAGTCGGCTATAAATTGTGACATTATTAGAGAAGGCATGAAGATACATAAAAGTAAAAATTTTAATTTTCTTTCCTCGCCACTGTCGAAAAAAGTTTTTTTTTTCTTGTCTCACACTTCAAAGTGCATCATGCTGCATAAAATACCAACCGCAGCTTGCTAACAATTGTCTTTGTATTTATTCCGACATGCGACCGGTCCTCCATCTGTATTCGTGGAGGTGCAGCGGATAAGTAAGGTTGTGACTACATTTTTGCTCAAATTGTAAAGTGCAAAATGTGGTCTGTACAATAGTAACTGTTAGCCTATTCAAGTAAGCAACGCGTTCTTTCTTGTTGTTTGTGTGAGTGTGTGTCTGTGTGTGTGTGTGAGTGAGAGAGAGAGAGAGAGAGAGAGAGAGAGAGCAGGTGTGTCAGCACACGAATTAATACATGCTGCAGGAGATCGCTGATTGTGGCCATGCAAAATCGCAAATGCCAGTCGGCAAGGCACCTGATGATACACTATTCGTATTCGCCCGAAAAGTTAGTCCTGCTATTCGCATTCGGCCAAATAGTGAAAATCACTATTCGGTACAACCCTACTTCCTAGATATTGAGATTCTTCAGCTGATTGTTGCCATGTAGTTTATAAACTGAGAGAATTTGTATTCAGTGCTCACTGTCGTGATGACCAAAGTGGCGATGACGTTACTGATGATGATGGCAGTAATAATGAGGAGCGCCTGGCGAACGGCTACGAACACTCAGTTTGCATTCTAAACAAGACTGTGTTGTTTTCTATCTGTGGAGACAGCACTAGCTATGAGATACTTTATCGTCAGGTTGAAAGGACACCGCCCTGCACCCCCTCCCCGTCTACATGGTGAATAGCGGCAGTAATGGTGGTGGGTGTTGGGTAGCCGCCGTGGTGTAGAGGCTAGATGCTCGCCTGTGGATCTGGAGGTCGTAGGTTCAGATCCTGAACTTTTCTAAAACAATGACCTTAACGGGCGCTGGGTGGTCATGATGAATGGTGATTATGTTGTTGATGAAGATAACAACAACCCAGATGATGATGTCGATGGAATAATGGTGATTATGTTGTTGATGAAAATAACAACAACCCAGATGATGATGTCGATGGAATAATGGTGATTATGTTGTTGATGAAGATAACAACAACCCAGATGACGATGTCGATGGAATAATGGTGATTATGTTGTTGATGAAGATAACAACAACCCAGATGACGATGTCGATGGAATAATGGTGATTATGTTGTTGATGAAGATAACAACAACCCAGATGACGATGTCGATGGAATAATGGTGATTATGTTGTTGATGAAGATAACAACAACTCAGATGACGATGTCGATGGAATAATGGTGATTATGTTGTTGATGAAGATAACAACAACCCAGATGACGATGTCGATGGAATAATGGTGATTATGTTGTTGATGAAGATAACAACAACCCAGATGACGATGTCGATGGAATAATGGTGATTATGTTATTGATGAAGATAACAACAACCCAGATGATGATGTCGATGGAATACTGGTGATTATGTTGTTGATGAAGATAACAACAACCCAGATGATGATGTCGATGGAATACTGGTGATTATGTTGTTGATGAAGATAACAACAACCCAGATGATGATGTCGATGGAATAATGGTGATTATGTTGTTGATGAAGATAAAGACAACCCAGATGATGATGTCGATGGAATAATGGTGATTATGTTGTTGATGAAGATAACAACAACCCAGATGACGATGTCGATGGAATAATGGTGATTATGTTGTTGATGAAGATAACAACAACCCAGATGACGGTGTCGATGGAATAATGGTGATTATGTTGTTGATGAAGATAACAACAACCCAGATGACGATGTCGATGGAATAATGGTGATTATGTTGTTGATGAAGATAGCAACAACCCAGATGACGATGTCGATGGAATAATGGTGATTATGTTGTTGATGAAGATAACAACAACCCAGATGACGATGTCGATGGAATAATGGTGATTATGTTGTTGATAAAGATAACAACAACCCAGATGATGATGTCGATGGAATAATGGTGATTATGTTGTTGATGAAGATAACAACAACCCAGATGATGATGTCGATGGAATAATGGTGATTATGTTGTTGATGAAGATAACAACAACCCAGATGATGATGTCGATGGAATAATGGTGATTATGTTGTTGATGAAGATAACAACAACACAGATGATGATGTTGATGGAATAATGGTGATTATGTTGTTGATGAAGATAACAACAACCCAGATGATGATGTCGATGAAATAATGGTGATTATGTTGTGGGTGAAGATAACAACAACCCAGATGATGATGTCGATGGAATAATGGTGATTATGTTGTTGATGAAGATAACAACAACCCAGATGATGATGTCGATGGAATAATGGTGAGTATGTTGTTGATGAAGATAACAACAACCCAGATGATGATGTCGATGGAATAATGGTGATTATGTTGTTGATGAAGATAACAACAACCCAGATGATGATGTCGATGGAATAATGGTGATTATGTTGTGGGTGAAGATAACAACAACCCAGATGATGATGTCGATGGAATAATGGTGATTATGTTGTTGATGAAGATAACAACAACCCAGATGACGATGTCGATGGAATAATGGTGAGTATGTTGTTGATGAAGATAACAACAACCCAGATGATGATGTCGATGGAATAATGGTGATTATGTTGTTGATGAAGATAACAACAACCCAGATGATGATGTCGATGGAATAATGGTGATTATGTTGTGGGTGAAGATAACAACAACCCAGATGATGATGTCGATGGAATAATGGTGATTATGTTGTTGATGAAGATAACAACAACCCAGATGATGATGTCGATGGAATAATGGTGATTATGTTGTTGATGAAGATAACAACAACCCAGATGATAATGTCGATGGAATAATGGTGATTATGTTGTTGATGAAGATAACAACAACCCAGATGATGATTTCGATGGAACAATGGTGATTATGTTGTTGATGAAGATAACAACAACCCAGATGATGATGTCGATGGAATAATGGTGATTATGTTGTTGATGAAGATAACAACAACCCAGATGATGATGTCGATGGAATAATGGTGATTATGTTATTGATGAAGATAACAACAACCCAGATGATGATGTCGATGGAACAATGGTGATTATGTTGTTGATGAAGATAACAACAACCCAGATGATGATGTCGATGGAACAATGGTGATTATGTTGTTGATGAAGATAAAAACAACCCAGATGATGATGTCGATGGAATAATGGTGATTATGTTGTTGATGAAGATAACAACAACCCAGATGATGATGTCGATGGAATAATAGTGATTATGTTGTTGATGAAGATAACAACAACCCAGATGATGATGTCGATGGAATAATGGTGATTATGTTGTTGATGAAGATAACAACAACCCAGATGATGATGTCGATGGAATAATGGTGATTATGTTGTTGATGAAGATAACAACAACCCAGATGATGATGTCGATGGAATAATGGTGATTATGTTGTTGATGAAGATAACAACAACCCAGATGATGATGTCGATAGAATAATGGTGATTATGTTGTTGATGAAGATAACAACAACCCAGATGATGATGTCGATGGAATAATGGTGATTATGTTGTTGATGAAGATAACAACAACCCAGATGATGATGTCGATGGAATAATGGTGATTATGTTGTTGATGAAGATAACAACAACCCAGATGATTATGTGGATGGAATAATGGTGATTATGTTGTTGATGAAGATAACAAAACCCAGATGATGATGTCGATGGAATAATGGTGATTATGTTGTTGATGAAGATAACAACAACCCAGATGATGATGTAGATGGAATAATGGTGATTATGTTGTTGATGAAGATAACAACAACCCAGATGATGATGTCGATGGAATAATGGTGATTATGTTGTTGATGAAGATAACAACAACCCAGATGACGATGTCGATGGAATAATGGTGATTATGTTGTTGATGAAGATAACAACAACGAAGATGATGATGATGTCGATGGAATAATGCTGAGTATAATATTACTGGTTGCCTGAGAAAACTGAAGAATATTAAATGGATGGAATGCAAGGCAAGAGAAGAAAAAATACACTGGCGTACATTAGTTATAATACAGAGATAATAGCAATACATTAGGGGAATTAAGAAGAGAAACTTTGAAAAGGACCAGACAGGCAATGTAATGGGAAATAAAATGATTTAGGAAACAATGGCGTCCAAGAGAAACCCTGAAACAAAACAAAAACAAAAACAAAACAAAAAACAAAAAAAAAAATGATGAGAGAGATCAAAGGTGCTGGTATGGATTCGATCCCAGATATCGGGAAAATGTCACCGGATATAGCAGAATGGAGGGCTCGATGTGAGAGTCATGTGACCAATAATGATGACACAGTACGAGGATGATGATGATGATATCGGTGCTGATAAAGGTAGCGACGGTGATAACGATAACTTACAGATCACTATTTGTATCCTCTTTTGGCGGAACTGTTGAGTTAAAAAACATTCAAGAATCTTTACAAATAAAAAGTTTATATGTGTGCAAAGTACATATTATCCGTTACAAAGGTCATTACACGTCGCCTGTCAGTAAAGTCATTACACGTCGTCTCTTAGCAAGGTCATTACACGTCTCTCAGCAAGGTCATTACACGTCGTCTCTCAGCAAGGTCATTACACGTCGTCTCTCAGCAAGGTCATTACACGTCTCTCTCAGCAAGGTCATTAAACTTCACCTGTCAGTAAGGTCATTACACGTCGTCTTTCAGCAAGGTCATTACACGTCGCCTGTCAGTAAGGTCATTACACGTCGCTGTCAGTAAGGTCATTATACGTTGCCTGTCAGTAAGGTCATTACACATCACATGACAGCATGATCATTACACGTCATCTGTCATCAAGATCATTACACGTCATATGTACAAAGATAATTGCACATCATCTGTAACAAAGATCATTGCACGCCATCTATAACAAAGATCATTAAACGTCATCTGTTACAAAGATCCTTTATTGTATCAGTTAATTGCAAAGGTTCCCTCCGTCTTCTCAGAGTTTATTGACTGTAAACTCTAGCGGAAAATTCTGATTGTTCGTCCAGTTCTGGACTTTGCCCCCCCCCCCCCCCCAATCCAGAACTGGATTTTTGAGTTCAGATCCGTTTCTACCGTGTTGCAGGTCTGGCTTCTTTGTTTGCTGCCTTTTGGTTACTCGCTTCCCAGTCACTTCGAAGGAAACACCCCAAGTCACCTTTCACGACATGCTTGCTAGGGAAAGGGGTTATTCGCCAACTCTCCAAAATGGGACTCTCGCACTCATACAAGGAACTGAAAAGATCCAGTGCCAAAACATCTGACCTCTCCAAAATAGGGCTCTCGCACTCATACGGGGAACTGTAAAGATCCAGTGCCAAAACATCTGACCTCTCCTAAAAGCCTCTACAGGCGGTCATACAGGTGTGGTATGTTACATGCTGTCTGGGATACATGCTAAGTTGAAATACTAAAAATGTGTTTTATTTGAAAAAAAAAAAATAAATAAGCCAGTAAAACGGATGTACACGCAAAACTCAGGTCAAGGTAAAAGCCAAAAGTCCATTTTGGACGAACAACCGTGACTTACCGCCGGAATTCACAGCCGGTGAACAAGAAGAAGAAGAAGAAGAAATAAGGCGAAATAAAAAAAAAACAGACACTTTAAAAGAACATTTGCATAAGTGGTTGAAGAGAACAACTAAGCGACCTTACAATTGTTTTACGGGAAATCCCCCCCCCCCCCTTTTTCTCGTTAAACAGGTCAACGGAGGTCACCAGGAAGCTACTCACTGCAGCCAACATTCATTGTGAAGACGGCACTTTATTAATTGACAAAATAGTGTTAGGCACTTATATTTCTGGCAACAAACGAAAGCAGGGCGAGGAGGAGAAGAAGAATGGACGAACTAGCCAAATAAAGAAAAAGAACAATATAAATAGAGAAAAAGAAAGAACAACGAGGGGTGCTGTAAAAACTTACCCTCGCACTTGCGCCCCGGTCGGTTTCTCTTATCCTCGGACTTGTCGATGTACTTGTAGCGGCAGACACACATAAAACTGCCGAGTGTGTTGATGCACATGGCAAGATTATGGCAGTCGTTCCAGTCCGCGTGCTCACATTCGTTGAAATCTGTGACAGAAAACATCATAATTTTCACATGCCACGCCTCACTGTGTTGGTTCCAAAGCTCCACTCCGGTGGGGGTGGGAGGGGGGGGGGGGAATAGACCCACTGCCTCTCTAACAAGTTTGGGTTAGTTTGACGTTAGTCTCCCCAAAAAGAGCAGGTCACTTTTGATTCACAAGTTTTGTTGGGCTGGTCGAGTTTCCTGAAGGCTACGAGTGTGTCCCACTCTGTCGTTTTGTATCTGCGATGTCTTGCATTTACTTTTTGATTCCGAGAAAGGGAATGCCTGTGACACAGGTTGCCGCACTTTCTAGTGGGGTTGTGTTAGACCTAGTTTCTCCATGTTTTTAGAGTGTTAAAAGCGCCGGCGTGCTTAAATATACAACCCGCGAAATGAACGGCATTGCGGAACACCCCGTAACCTTGCGCAAAGGTAACGAGACTCAGGAACTACTAATCAGAAGTGAGCTAGTGTGTAATTAGGCGGGGACTGAGGAGACTCATATTACTTTTGCCCTAGTTTGTTGTACTAGGCGACCAATTAGGGCGGTTGCCTTCAAAATCAAAGTAGATTTACCTGAGAGCGACGAACCAACAGTCTGCGTAAGAAAAAGCGAGAACTGCAAAACGAATGTGCACGGACAATTCAAGCTCTGAAAACAAAACAAAAAATGTATAAACAAGCAGAACTTTCGGTCCGTGTTTACAGCCAGTAAATGCTAAGAAAAGGAAGATATGCCACACATATAACCAAAGAGTCTCCATCTCAAAGTGAGGGTGGGTGGTTGTGCAGGCAGCTTCACCATCGTCTCAAGGACCCTGACAACTTGGCCGCGTCAGCGGCGCAGCTACCGGGGGGAGATCAGCTTCCGGGGGGAGACCAGCTACCAGGGGGAGATCAGCTACCTGGGGGAGATCAGCTACCGGGGGGAGATCAGCTACCAGGGGGAGATCAGCTACCAGGGGGAGATCAGCTACCAGGGGGAGATCAGCTACCAGGGGGAGATCTAGCTAGACAGGTCAACGGTTAGAGAACACACACACCCACATATTTTTATCATGGTATGGAGCGTGGCAGGTCGACCCAGCCCAAAATGGGTTCTAGGGTGGATGTCCTGGGAAATTATAGACGGCCGGCGTTATGATGAGCACTTTAACCACCTACTGCCGATTGGTCTGTAACAATATGGATGCTCTTCCCATTTGGTCGATACGCCTAAGGGCGTGAAAAGGGATACATCCATCCATCCATCCACCCACCCATCCATCAATCCATCCATCCATCCATCCATCCACCCATCCATCCATCCATCCATCCATTCATCCATCCATTCATCCATCCATCCATCCATCCATCCATCCATCCATCCCCCACCCACCCACAGACAGACAGACAGACAGACAGACAGACAGACAGACAGACAGACAGACAGACAGACAGACAGACAGACAGACATACACACATGTACACATGTACACACGCGCGCACATGCACGCTGCAGTATAAACTCACCACTGAACACAACAGCCTGACTGAAAGGTGTTGCCACTTTGAGTGCACTTCTTCCCAGGAGGCCATCAGAGCTGTCAACATCCAACAGAGATATATTGCACATACTTCACTGAATAGTCGTGTTCAAAACTATATAGCTAATACTGTGGAAAGGATTTCTGGTTAAATATGGAGGATAGGCAGGCAGTCCTTCCAAATGCCAAGAGTCTTATGCGTCAATGTTGCGTGTGTACGGCTAGTTTATCGTGATTGACTTCTTCCATCAACGAAAAATGCAATTTTTATGGTGACGGTTGTTGTTGGAGACTCTAGTGACGTCATTACGCATCGACAGCATGTGCTTATTTCTGGATTTTCTAGCAACTAATTTTTTGTTCATTAGTTTTCAAATTAGCCATTTATGGGCATTTTGTGGGGTTTTTACTGGCATTAAAAGGGAGCAGTTACGAGGCAACATTGAGCTGAAACCTCGACAACTGCTACTGTCGTCACCAATACTTCAACAATAGCAACAACAACACTGTAACTATCACCGCCACCACTACTACTAATACCTCTACTGCAACTACTACTACAAAGACTACTTTTACTACTACTACTACTACTACTACTACTACTACTACTACTACTACTATTACTACTACTACTACTACTACTTACTACTACTACTACTACTACTACTACTACTACTACTACTACTACTACTACTACTACTACTACTACTACTACTACTACTACTACTACTACTACTACTACTGAGGCAGTGTTCTTGTCTAGATAGCCGCCGGTTCGCCACGACTACGTCAAACGACCATGAACTTTGTATCTGCATGGCCTTTTACTCCCCATTACACAATCTTTCTTCAACGATTGAACAGGCACACAATCTTCCTTCAACGATTGAACAGGCGCACAATCTTCCTTCAACGATTGAACAGGCGCACAATCTTCCTTCAACGATTGAACAGGCGCACAATCTTCTACGATCACTGGGGGCGGTTTTCAAATCTTGCAAACGCTTTCAAGTGTGTTCCCTGTGGAGTATTTATGTAATCTTATTTTAAACTGCACACATGTCCTTTTAATGTGAACGGCTGAAGCCATTCCAAACCCCATAACATCCCTGTTACTGCCCTTGCTGCTTCTACTACATTATTATTATTATTTTTGGCTCAACAACCTTTCCTACCAACCCAATTTTTTTTAATTTAAATCTTTATTTTGCTTCTGTTCCCTCCGGCCTCGGGTTCCGGTGCCTATGACACTTGATGCTGATGAACTGTGACCACACAGAATAAAGGGACTTGACATCGTGTTGAGGTTAATGATATGCAAAACGGAGGTCACGACCGGGTTTCTACCAGGAATACTGAAGTTGTACTTACCTGTTGAGATTTTCTTCAAAGAAGTCGTAGATTTCCTCAACGGGTGTTGCATTCAGGTAATAAGCAGTCAAGTGTAGCAGCACTGTGGCTTTCACCCCTTGATTGGTTGCTCGGTTGGCTACATCCAGGTTCTGAAAACGCATGACCTCGCTGGCAACATAGCGGTCTTTCAAAGGCGATGTTGACCAGGTTTCGTTAAACATCTTCATCAGCTGACAACAAATGTTCAGACAATGAACAAACACAACAAGGCAATTCCTAGTGGTTATATAGAGACAGATTGATAGAGGTCATGCTGTGTTGTCTAAGACAATTAAAGAGGGATATATATCGTTATCTTTTCTTTCTTCTGTCTTCGTGCTTAAGAACAGTCACCCAGCTACTGAGTTAGGTGCATGGCGCGACACTGTGAGCTGCAGATTTTGGAATGCTTTCGGCGGTGCCAACGCGGTTTGTGTTATGAATTGTATATTCAGAAAATGACGAGTGGACGGTTGCCATTTAACTTGTGGGTGCCATGTGCGATGAATCTGCGTGTGCAACTTTCAATCTGCTGCAACTACTGCTTCCATCGACGCTGACCTGCATTTCGGTGTCGGACTGTTTGCGTCGGCACTTCTGACTGCTACCTTATGCATTTTTTTCTGCGAGATTTGCTAAAACTGTATTTTTTTTTTTTTACAAGGGACATGGGTGGATATTCTGTGTGGTTTTCTTTAGCACAGAAACGCAGCAAATGTCAGGTGACCCGTTCACCTGATTACATTAGGACATTAAAAAAAAAAAAAAAAATTTTTTTTTTTTGGGGGGGGGGGGGGGGAGGGGGGGCGGGTTCCACAGCTAAACTGTAGTATCTCCGTCTTGTGATTTAATACACCCGATTTTAGAAAAACCACTAATTATTCGTATTTTACGACATACTTGATAAGAAGCAGGGGGTCAATGCCCCCATATTATCTACATATACTGATAAACACACATGCAGTCACATACACATATACAGATACATACAAAAAGAGTGGAACACACACACAGTCACATACATGCAGAGTGACACATACAGATATAGACACACACAGACACACAAACATACAGACACATATACAGACAGACACATACATACTGCGATGATTCTCTTTTATCTTCTACTGGCTCGCCTCATCGCATGCTCGCTGCCATCTCACAAACCGACATCACTCGACGAGCAGAAAAAAGGACGACTGGAAAACAACACGCTACTGTTCCAGTACTTTAATCTTCCACTCGCGGCTTACACTGCCGGCACATGAACTAGACAACTGTCCAGGCACACATTATAATGCAAGTGTCAACTATTACCTTCAAGCAGAAATCACAATCACACTACCATCTTGAACGAACACAGCAGCTGTCCTGACCGACAAACTCAGACGACCCGCAGACATATTATTGGCCAGCTTTTTTCGCCAAGTTGGACTGGAACAAATTCACTCACAAAAACATCTGCTGAATCTACACATCATCCACCGCTGTCCATGCACACTGTTCCTAGGTCCAAAACGAGACTGCCCACAAACCTTTTCCTCGCTATTATATAGCCCTCTGATCTATCCTATTCTAGACTATTCTGGATTCATTCTCACGAATTTCCCACTGTTGAAAGTCGTGTCTGGCCCGTGATAATTCACACTTCACACAGATCCTGTGAACAATCATGTTTCACATAAAACCTGACTTTCAGATGTCTCTCATGAAACTCAAGACATAAATCTCGTGTTATCTCAACCAGTCAAAACATTCGTCTTACATCTATTACTGACGTCATCTATCGGGCATAAATTAATGAGGAGAAAATGACTCACTACACATACAGACACATACATACACATATACACACGCATGCAGACAGACACATATACAGACATATACATACAGAAATACTCACACAAACATACATACACGAAAAGATATAAAACCAAATTTAAAGTAGACACAAACTTACAGACAGACACTTATACAGACAGACACATACATACAGAAATACGCACACAAACACACATACAAAAAAAAAGATATAAAACCAAATCTAAAGTAGACACACACATACAGACATACACATATACAGACAGACACATACAGACAGACATACGCACACAAACATACTTACACGAAAAGATATAAAACCAAATCTAAAGTAGATACACACATACAGACATACACATATACAGACAGACACATACAGACAGATATACGCACACAAACATACATACACGAAAAGATTTACAACCAAATCTTAAGTAGACACACACACATACAGACATGCACATATACAGACACATACATACAGACACATGTACACAAACATACATACACGAAAAGATATAAAACCAAAGCTAGAGTAGAGCTAGCCAGCTTCACTTTATCGCAAACACAAAAGAAAGAGAGCGTTGCGGCAAGAGAGCCTTCATCAGCACACGACATGAATAGAGAATGTTACAATTACATTCTAGAATACACGAAAATCACTTCACTGAATTATCTACGAGAGAAATACACGTGTCTGTTTGGCCAGCTGAAGATATGAAACCCGTGTGAACACAGAATATGAACAATAGCCAGAAGAAAAAAGTTATAACAGTCAAGGGCCGCAACTCAAAGAATATGAGATAAGCTGGGTATGACGTTAACTTCTCTAAGCGAGTTGACTCCAGCACAGACACCTGGCTACCCACCCCGTTCATGGTGATCCTATTAGCTAATTCTTCGAAGATGGGCAACTTAGGGCTCAGATATTCTTTCTTGAACATCAAGGGTTGGTAATCGTACTTGCCGGCTTCTGTGGTCAACGACAGATAAAGCTGGTACGTCTGGATGGCTGGAAGAATACATGAACGGTGTACAAGTGATCAACGACAGATGGTTCTAGTACGTCTGGATGGCTGGAAGAATACATGAACGGTGTACAAGTGATCAACGACAGATGGTTCTAGTACGTCTGGATGGCTGGAAGAATACATGAACGGTGTACAAGTGGTCAACGACAGATGGAGCTAGTACGTCTGGATGGCTGGAAGAATAAATGAACGGTGTAAAAAAATAACAATCAATCAGGTGCCGTCCCCACAATGAAGGTTGGCCGCAATGGATCTCACACACACTGTTTGTTGTCTTGGTAGCACACTCTCCCAGACTGTGCGTCTCCCGATGTTGTCTTCTCACTTGCATCTTTGTCTATCTATTATTCTGCCTTTGATTTCTCCCTCTAGTATGGTTTTTAAAAGAGTGTTATTTCCTTTGACGTGGCCCAAATATTTATGTTGCCTGTTTTTAATTTTCTGTTAGTAACACACTTTCATCGGCAGTCTGTGGAACACTTTAGTATTTGACTTGTTGTTTCCATGACACGCAACATATTGTCCTGCATAGTCAAACCCACTGTGAATGGATAACCTTTCTGCCTGCTTGTTAATTGTCCAGGTTTCCCCCATTACACAGTATACTCTAGTGTACCATTAAAAATTTATTTCCACCAACAATAAATACAGCTGCAGTTAAGACGTAATGAATGAATGAATCTTGCCGAAAAAATACGAGGACTGTTCTAAAATAACAACTCCACAGCCGGAGCAAGCACAGCAGGAGCTACCGATGATCAATAGGGGGATCTCTCGTCGACAATTGTTTCGGTCCGTTATCCGGTGCTTTATTAATACTTTACCCCAAGCAGGGGAAATTCACAGGTCAGGGGACAGTCTAATATTTCAGGGGGTGGTAGATAGGCTGCACGCAGTCGTGGGACCTAGGCTGAATGCAGTTGTGGGACCTAGGCTGCAATCTCTCGTGGGACGTTCGTGGGTTGGTGTTAGGGTCAGTTCTAGACGTGCTGGGGTCGTTAAAAGCACCAGAAAGCAGGGGAACCCAGTCTTACCACCCACTAAAATGTTGGACTGTCCTGTGACGTCATCTGGGGGTAAGATATTAATAAAGAACCCGTTAACCTCCTAGACAATCACAGAGGGTGGGTCGGCCCAGGTCATGACGCCAGGCATCGGACTTTTCCTGCTGTGCTTATCAATCAACCTGCGACTGGCTGATTATGTGAATGCATACAATTGACACACATCACTGCATTACTTTTCCACACGGTTACCGCCGCAGCTCAGGCACTTATCGCACTGTGGCTCGAGTTTGTCTAACCCATCTTAAATGACGGCACTAACAGGGTATTTAGCCAGTTGTTGACTCCACCCATGAGCTCCTTGACGGTGTCGAAACGATGGGTGGCCAACCAGACCTTCATCTTGCCGAAGAAATGATAAACGCTTGGTACCAAGTCTGTGCTATTGGGGGCAGAAGGGAGGTGGGAGAGGGGGCGGGGCGGGGGCGGAGGGGGTTGAAAATGTCCTAGTTAAACTGCTCAAATAAAAACTGTTTGAATCAGCTCATCTGTCACACATGAATGTCGCCTCTGTGCATCCTCATCTTGCATATTTTTACACGCATCTCTTTACATTTAGTTTTAGTTTTATATCTTTTCGTGTATGTATGTTTGTGTGCGAATGTTTGTATGTATGTATGTGTCTGTCTGTATGTGTATGTGTCTGTATGTGTGTGTCTACTTTAGTTTTGGTTTTATGTCTTTTCGTGTATGTTTGTGTGCGTATGTATGTATGTGTCAGTATGTATATGTGTATGTCTGTATGTGTATGTGTCTGTATGTGTGTGTGTCTACTTTAGATTTGGTTTTATGTCTTTTCGTGTATGTATGTTTGTATGTTTGTGTATGTCTGTATGTATGTATCTGTCTGTTTATGTGTATGTCTGTATGTTGGTATGACTACTTTAAACACGACTATTCAGTGAAGTATGTACAATATATCTCTGTTGGATGTTGACAGCTCTGATGGCCTCATGGGAAGAAGTGCACTCAAAGTGGCAACACCTTTCAGTCAGGCTGTTGTGTTCAGTGGTGAGTATATACTGCAGCGTGCAGGTGCGCGCGTGTTTGTATGTGTGTGTCTGTGTATGTATGTACGTATGTAGATTGGTATCTGCACCAATCCCATACAGAACTGTCACTTATCACGTAATCGCTGTACACATGACACAGTTCCCTATAAATATTAGTCTGACCCTCTGCCTGAAGAAAACGAATTAAACTAAGAATTTTGCAGCTGGCGGAAAAGACAGCAACACTGTCTATGGACCCGTTAACCACTGAACAAATGCATCTGTAGGCTTATGTGCAGTGAGCTAAACGACTAATGAATGATACAAGCAATGAGCGGTGTTACTATGGCAAACGGTTTATTTTTACCAGCCAGTTGGAGGTCAGTTTGTAACAGCCCTCGTATTATTATCCTGAAATGATCATATCTTACCAAAATAATAGTAATAATAATAATAAATCGATCTAATCAAACAGAAAGACTCGTTAGTTTCTCAAAAACCACAGTCACTAATGACAAAATGAACACTGCGGCTGGAAAACCTTCATCAGCATACGATACAAACGGACAATGATACAATTTCAAACAAGAACAATGCGCTACTTACGAACACAGCGTGAACTGTTAAACTGCAGCGCGTGCCGGTACTGGCACCGACACATCTCCATAGCTAACAGTTTGACACAGCGGCTGTTGGTCCAGTTACAGCTGCTGCTGCTACAACTGGGCGGGTTCGGCGCTTCAATGGGCGTGTACTGAGGTAATATGTCTCCTGGACGCAATGAAACAAATTAAAAATCGGTTGTCGTTCAGGTCATGGCTGAGATTTACTATTTAAAAAAAAAAACTTAGCTCCCAGGTTAATCTAACTTTTAAAGGGCACCACGTAAACTACTGGGAAGTAAAGGTGGGTGACGAGATGCTGACACATCATACACCGAGTGCCAGTGTATCAAATACAGTCTTAGCCCTACATGCCCAGTACGCTGGAAGGCGCGGAAAAGGGTCATTTTTATAGCAGGGGTGGCTAACGTGTCGACCGATGGCGTTCTTCTTTGCTGACCGGCTGTAAGCTCTCGCTAAAAGTCCTGGTTGTTCGTCCATTTAAACTTTGACTTTGTGACAGGACCTGAGCTCTGCGTGTACATCCGTTTTACTGGACGGGACTCTAAGATCTGAAGCTCCCACTCAGAGTAGGAAGGCGCGCGTGAGAGAGGGGTGGGGGCAGCGGCTTCGGATGGATGGATGGATAAAAGCAAACAAAAAGTTCAAACTTGGTCCTCGTTTAGCCGCCCGAAGGCCTGCTTTATCGAAGAGAGGTTTCTTTGCTGTCTGATTTGAGTTTGTGTTTCTTTGTCATGCAAGAACTAACGGCCTTCAGAGGGCGAGGCAAACGGCTTGGCAACTTCGCTGAATGTAAAGTAATCAAGTACATGACCCTCTTATACGCTATTAGGCACATTGGGCATATAGGGATCGACCTATATTTTATAGACCAATCGCTACTAGGTGGCAGTACGTCAACAGCACACCGGCCGCCTTTATTTCCCATGTACCCATCAAGGTCAGGTCGCCTTGGGAGTCAAGGTTATTTGGAAAGAAAGTTTTGATTAGAACTCACCACCTTGGGATCTTAGGCGGCGAGCTACAATAGGGCGGCTTCCTAAAGAATATGAAGTGTTCACACTATTCAAAACTCCGGCATATCCCAGAGTAGATATAACAATGTGTTATTCCTATTTTCTCAAAGTTATTCTTTATCTCTGAACACTTTCATGTGTTTTTAATTTTGTGAATATTCCCATGAGCTGAAAATAAGATAATCTACATGATTGTCTCCACCTGAACACTGCAAATTATCTCCCCTCGCCGCCTCTCCCGAAGTCAACTGGTAAATGAAATTATTAATAATAACAAATGGTTTTTCCACTACAGCCCGTCTCTGTCGTTATCTGAAATGGTTTATCCAGCCAGGCGTGAAATTGAAGGTTGTGGCTGAACATTTTTTAGGCCGTGCAAAATACCAGAATAGTTTTTACATTTGTCTGAATAAAAATTACCATGATTTATCTCAAAGGAACGACACGCCATAGTAACATCAGCATAGCTGTCGCGCGCGCGTGTATGTGTGTGCGCGCGCGCGCGTGTGTGTGTGTGTCATTGTGAAGAAGAATTCTCAAGTGCCACGGTTGTATCCTCGCTTTTGACTTTCTGATAAATCAGAGAATGGACCGACGATAACAAAATGTTGCAGATAAAGTGAATATATCAATTAATAAAGTTGTAGTGGTGGAGTACTCACCCAGAGTACTGATCAAGCTAGAAGATCAAACCCCATATAACCCGGAGGAAAGTTTTATGATTGTTCGGCCACTCCTAGACTTCGGTCTTGACCCAGAGCTTGAGTTTTCCTTGCACATCCGTTTAATAGATTTGGCTTATTTGTACGCAGATTGTTGGTTCATTGTCTTTCAAACATATACACCCGACTTTAAATGAAAAAAATTAATGCCCCTGTGTTGGTGGGCAGTGGGTCTATTCTTTGTTTTAAAATATAATGCAGCCCCGGAGTCCACACAGGGAGGATTTCTTATGACCCATGTAAACCTGGGTGCGGCACAGCTTCTAGGCTCCCTCTTACAGCCCATGCTGTGTATACAGGATATTGTCTCCTACCCATACGGGACAGCAGGTGGCTTGTTGTAAACCCAGATGATTCCAGTAGGAGGCATGTTGTAATCCCATGTAACTCTAGCAGGGGGCTTGTTGGAAGCCCTGGTGATTCCAGCAGGAGGCTTGTTGTAATCCCAGGTATATCCAACAGGAGGATTGTTGTAATCCCAGGTAACTCCAGCAGGAGGCTTGTTGTAATCCCAGGTATCTCAAACAGGAGGCTTTAATCCCAGGTGTCCACCTTCAGCTGCTGTATGCAGCGGAAGGTGATTACTAGGAGTTTCCCCTGTAGGATGTGCATTACAATATTGGCGATCTACAACGCTCTTAGCGCACCATTTGTCTACAAACTGCCAACTTACAATAAACAATTTTTTAACATACGAGTATTATGAATAACAAGCTGCTACCTCACAACAAACCACAAACTTTTAACATAATAAACTACAAATTCCCAGCTCACATGTAATTACAAACTCGTCACTGGCAACGAACCGCAAACATTGAACACACTGTACTAAAAACAAAGCCTAAGTAAAAAAAAAAAAGCTCGTTAGGCTGGGACTAAAACCTCTAGTGTTTTTTCCCCTGATAAGAAATGTTTTGTATGAAGTCTAATCAGCAGTTGCAGTAACCAGGCAACTAACTTCTTCTTCTTCAGCATTCCGAGCCCTTGAGGTTCATTGCTGCAGATATCACCCGCTCCCATTCATCTCTCTGGTTGGCCTTCTCTTTCCAGTTGGTGACACCAAGCAACAAAAATGTAAGAAAACACCTACGTAAACTTTATTTGTTGAAATAACTATCGCAGGTACGTGTTACACAGACAATCAACATAAGTAAATAAATGATGATGTAACTGAACAATAACAATACTACCTGAACACGAGACACGAACCATCGTTAAGTAAACAAAACCGCAATTGTCGTCTAACGCATCTAAATACACACATGTAACTACACAAACCGCACCTTGATAGACCACGTGTGCTAGAAACTGGCACTACTCTGAATCAAAATACACACTGAGACCTGATTCTAACACTCACTGTTAAACATTCAACGACTGAGGGACCACTGAGACATTCCACCCCTACCCAATCAGTCCTCTGGTACTCATTTTCAGTTAAATTCTCTGAACGACTACGCAACCTTACACACGTCTCACCTCAGAGTCCAAAAGGCAAATCTAATGCCCCCCTTTCCTTAGATACCCGCTGCCACCTCATCTCCTGGTTGCCAGTTTTTAGTCGCGTTTGCTCCCGAATCAATAACATTATTACATATGCCATCGGCCTGTTACAACAAGAAGAACCACACACTCAAGACGATCTACAAAATCCCAGCTCAAAACGAACTACAAACTATCAACACACTACGGTCCGCACTTTTCTAAAACACAACAATCTACACAGTCAGAACAACCAGGAAGTACTCACTCTCCACGCAAGACACAGCCGTGTTCTGGGTGTATCCGTACTCACAGACGCACGTGTTGTTCTCCAGCTCACACTTTGATTTGACCAAGGTTTTGTTACAGTGCTGGTCCTCCTGGCAGAAGTCTCCGAATTTCTGTGGATCTGTCAACAAAAGCATGTTACAGATCCCTCATCTGGACGCAGGATAACTATAGAACTAGGACAATAGAAGATCCCCGATAACCTGAACTAGCCCAAAACCAAAGTCTGGTCACCCTCAAAGCTCAACTCAGAGCACCTCAGAGCTTAACTCAGAGCACCTCAGAGCTTAACTCAGAGCACCTCAGAAACCGAAAGACTTTGAGGATATCAAGTTTGGCGATTTCAGGCTTTTGTGGATGTTTGTCTTCTTTTAGTTTGCATACTCCAAGATTGCAGTCTGTAAGGTTTAACATCTCAAGGGTGAGAATCAAACAGCTAGCACTCTTGGACACCCAGTCAACCGTACAGACATAAAGCACAATTGTACTGCGGCACCACAAAACGGTTATAAAATAACCTGTAGTCGAGTGTAGGTGAGCCTGATGTTTAGGGGAGGGTGGGTATCGAGAGCAGGTGGGCCTTAATACTTGGTAGGTCATTAGCCTTCACGGCTCTCAAGGGTTGGTGGATCCCAACACTAAGCGGCACAAATCAGACACAGCCAACACAACAAGTAGAAATACAAACTAGCAGAAACTGCTAGAATTTGTGACAGACAGCCAGACATACAAGCAATCAAACATATATAAAAACATATCTATTCATAGTGTATTCACAACGGAAACCACCGCTGTATTTCCAAAGTAAATCACGCGTTTAAACTAACTGTACTTTTTGACAACGACGCTGATGGAATTACCTAGTCCAATCGGGACGATTATGTTTTACAGGAGATATCCGACTCCCATCAGACGGATGTAAATAAAGTGAAGGTCACAAACTGGTACACTGAACGTCAGAACACCGGACAACCAAAAAGAGAAACCATTGCTTTGAAAGAGGCGAAGGTTCGAAGACAGTTTATCACAAACAGCAGGAAGAGACAGTTGACATAAAAAAAAAAAAAAAGTCATATTACGAGAAGAAGGAAACTGGAACATGTTGTCACAATTAGAAAGATCAATGGTAAAAGAGACAGACAAAGGCAGTTACTGGGGATTCCTGACAGCCTTCTGACACATGGCATGGAGTAGTGTCAGAGCACAAACTGTTTCATGCTTTTGAAAATGTTAAATTGGGGAGAGGTATGGTTGTCCACGCCAGCCTTTAAGGTACTTGATGGTTATTATAATTCAGCACAATACTAAACTCCAACCTTTTCTTGTTCCTGTGCTAATATTTCCAGCACACGAGACCCCTCTAACGTGAAAGCCCTACAGAACCGTACACCTGTTTCGATGGGGTTTCCCCGGTACACGAACTTACATGATACAAATCACGTAATAATCATCAAACCTTAGTGTAATCATAATCTTTCAGAGACCAGCTGTGCAGCTCCAACTGATGTTGTGATGTCTGTCAACACCAGAAACATCCTGCACCACACACCCCACAGACATACAACCTGTAGCAATTATTCCTACATATGCTAAGTCTAGCTTTTAAATCTGGTTAATATGGCTAATAGGCATGAATAATGTACGAGGGCAAGTCAATGACTAATCCACATATAGTTGTTAAAAACCTGAAAACCATTTATTTTTACACACATACTGTCCCTTTATTTTTCAACATACGAAAGTCGTGGCAAGTGTTCGCTGCTGACAATAGTTAGCTGTAACATTTTCCTGCATAAGTAGACTGAAAGAATGTAGTTTCGTCGCCCAACTACTGAGCTGAGTATGTGCTTTTCGACTGGACGACGGGGCGTGTATTGCAGACTGCAGACTTACAAAATTGCAAGTGGTCTGTTGCTAGAGAACTGATGATGCCTTATAGGGTTTCTTGCGTGTGCAGTTACTGATTTTAGTAACACTTTCGACTCCAGCAGTGAGGCCGAAAAGGTCTACGGAAATTCCCGTTTTATTAGGCCGGTCCACGGCCGGTCTGTGTTCACTGTTGTTGTCGAGTAAATTTATACACAAATTAAACAACAGTTTAATTAACTTGAAACATATTTTACTAGATACTTTATTATTATTATTATTATTATTATTATTATTATTATTATTATTATTATTATTATTATTATTATTATTATTTTTAATTATTATTATTATTATTAAACAACAGTTTAATTAACTTGAAACATATTTTACTTAATACTTTATTATTATTATTATTATTATTATTATTTTTTATTATTATTATTATTATTATTATTATTATTATTATTATTATTATTATTATTATTATTATTATTATTATTATCATCATTTTTTCTAATAGCCCACTTATTCAGTCAATAAAATGTGTTGCAAAGTAATTAAACTGAAGTGTAATCTTTATATAAATTTACTCGATAACAATGGTAAGCGCACACCGGCCGTTGACCGGCCTAAAAAAACGGGAAGTTCCGTAGACCTATTCGGCCTCACTGTTGGAGCTGGCCGTGTTCAATAACTACGGCCTCCCTCGACGGATGCAGTGGATTTATAATGTCGACCTGTTTATGCTGGCGCTTTTGACGGCTACCTTATTTATATAATACGTGTTCATGCTATTGGTTTTGCTAAGACTGCAGTCTATGTCAGTTTTCCCCACAAGGAACAGAGAGATGGACATTCATTGTTGTTCTCCTTGGCACATGAGCGGAGTAGTTATGGGTGACCCGTTTGCGATGAAGTTGGAACTGTAATTACCCGAACCTGACTTTATTTATGGGAATTCGCTGTATGATCAAGAAAGAAATACCAGACTTTTGTTACCAAACGATCCGCGGCTCTCTAGCGTAGTTGGCTAAACCGGATTGCGCAGAGACCGGGTGACGAACTCCTTGTGGTCCGGTTTCAATCCCGGGGTAGGCAGGAAAGCCACATTTTCTCCCAGAATTACGGAATTTACAATGGAATAAAGGCCGAAAGGTTGCGATATCCATAATACCGAGCCTAAGGGTTAACAACTCATGGCTTCTGGATACTAAAACAAACAAACAAACAAACCAAACGATGTGCCTGTTTGCCGCACGTTTGAAAACAAAGCAGCATACAGTTATTTCCCATACTACTTCAAAGGATTTCAGAATGTCTGCTCACTGGCCAGAATGTCATCTCATCTGTCTTTCTATATGTCTATCTATATATCTGTCTATCTATCTGTCTCTCCGTCGGTCCGTCCGTTTGTCTGTCTGTCTTTTGTCTACTTGTCTAATCTTATCTAGTCTACGCTGTCTGTCTGTCCATAAGTTAACATATTTAGCCACAGTTTATCTAAAACATAAACAGGCTTATCCAAGAGAAATCACACCATCTATGCTCGCTGTCAGAACACACTCACCCCGGTGACAGGTTGTTTTGTTGCTGTCAGAACACACTCACCCCGGTGACAGGTTGTTTTGTTGCTGTCAGAGCACACTCACCCCGGTGACAGGTTGTTTTGTTGCTGTCAGAGCACACTCACCCCGGTGACAGGTTGTTTTGTTGCTGTCAGAACACACTCACCCCGGTGACAGGTTGTTTTGTTGCTGTCCGCAAAATATCCCTCGGAGCATGTGCAAGTGTTGTTGTGGCACTCACTGTTCACGCTGACTGGTTTGCAGTGTTCGTGGCGAGCACAGTGGTCGCCGACGCTAGTCGGCACTGAGGACACAATTAGTTTCAATATTACATCTTCAGATTACATAAAACAGCGATGAGTTTGTGTTTGTTTGTTTGTGTGTTTCTGTCTTTCTTTCCTTTCTTTCCTTTCTTTCCTTTCTTTCTTTCTTTCTTTCTTTCTTTCTTTCTTTCTTTCTTTCTTTCTTTCTTTCTTTCTTTCTTTCTTTCTTTCTTTCTTTCTTTCTTTCTTTCTTTCTTTCTTTCTTTCTTTCTTTCTTTCTTTCTTTCTTTCTTTCTTTCTTTCTTTCTTTCTTTCTTTCTTTCCTTTCTTTCCTTTCTTTCCTTTCTTTCTTTCTTTCTTTCTTTCTTTCTTTCTTTCTTTCTTTCTTTCTTTCTTTCTTTCTTTCTTTCTTTCTTTCTTTCTTTCTTTCTTTCTTTCTTTCTTTCTTTCTTTCTTTCTTTCTTTCTTTCTTTCTTTCTTTCTTTCTTTCTTTCTTTCTTTCTTTCTTTCTTTCTTTCTTTCTTTCTTTCTTTCGTGCTGGTCTCCCTGGCGAAGTGGTCAAGCCGTTTGCCTCGCGCTCTGAAGGTCATAGGTTCGTTTCACGTCGTTTGGTTTACGGATGCAATTTTGTAAATAGAAATCCCAGGTGATAGTTGCTGAAGCCACGGAGTTTGTGCTTTGTTTGACGTTCTCGGCAGGCAGCTAGAATATTTTACCCACATGTGACCCAGGCGTACTGACAAGTTCGACTCACACTTAGCGCAGTCAGTCCTAAAATATGTTCTACTCACATTTGACACACGTGGTCCTACAACATGTTCTACTCACACTTGACACAGGTGGTTCTACAACATGTTCTACTCACACTTGACACAGGTGGTTCTACAACATGTTCTACTCACACAGGACACAGGTGGTTCTACAACATGTTCTACTCACACTTGATACAGATGGTCCTACAACATGTTCTACTCACACAGGACACAGGTGGTTCTACAACATGTTCTACTCACACTTGACACAGGTGGTTCTACAACATGTTCTACTCACACTTGACACAGGTGGTTCTACAACATGTTCTACTCACACAGGACACGGGTGGCTCTACAACATGTTCTACTAACACTTGAAACAGGTGGTTCTACAACATGTTCTACTCACACTTGATACAGGTGGTTCTACAACATGTTCTACTCACACTTGATACAGGTGGTTCTACAACATGTTCTACTCACACAGGACACAGGTGGTTCTACAACATGTTCTACTCACACTTGATACAGGTGGTTCTACAACATGTTCTACTCACACTTGACACAGGTGGTTCTACAACATGTTCTACTCACACTTGACACAGGTGGTTCTACAACATGTTCTACTCACACTTGACACATGTGGTTCTACAACATGTTCTACTCACACTTGACACAGATGGTTCTACAACAGGTTCTACTCACACTTAATACAGGTGGTTCTACAACAGGTTCTACTCACACTTGATACAGATGGTTCTACAACAGGTTCTACTCACACTTGACACAGGTGGTTCTACAACAGGTTCTACTCACACTTGACACATGTGGTTCTACAACATGTTCTACTCACACTTGACACAGGTGGTTCTACATGTTCTACTCACACTTGTCACAGGTGGTTCTACAACATGTTCTACTCACACTTGACACAGGTTGTTCTACAACATGTTCTACTCACACTTGACACAGGTGGTCCTACAACATGTTCTACTCACACTTGACACAGGTAGTTCTACAACATGTTATACTCACACTTGACACAGGTAGTTCTACAACATGTTCTACTCACACTTGATACAGGTGGTTCTACAACATGTTCTACTCACATTTGACGCAGATGGTCCTACAACATGTTCTACTCACACCTGACAGGTGGTTCTACAACATGTTCTACTCACACTTGACACAGGTAGTTCTACAACATGTTCTACTCACACTTGATACAGGTGGTTCTACAACATGTTCTACTCACACTTGACACAGGTGGTTCTACAACATGTTCTACTCACACTTGACACAGGTGGTCCTACAACATGTTCTACTCACACTTGACACAGGTGGTTCTACAACATGTTCTACTCACACTTGACACAGGTGGTCCTACAACATGTTCTACTCACACTTGACAAAGGTGGTTCTACAACATGTTCTACTCACACTTGATACAGGTGGTCCTACAACATGTTCTACTCACACTTGACACAGGTGGTTCTACAACATGTTCTACTCACACTTGACACAGGTGGTCCTACAACATGTTCTACTCACACTTGACACAGGTGGTTCTACAACATGTTCTACTCACACTTGATACAGGTGGTTCTACAACATGTTCTACTCACACTTGACACAGGTGGTCATATTGAGAGCAATGAAAGTCCCGGGGGGACAGAGGCACCTCCAGGTTTCGAGGCGGGTCAGGTTACAGGTGCTGGACGGGTCTACCCTTCGACACTGCTCCGTGAAGAAACACAGATCCGTGAGGTACGTGGGTCCTGGGCAGTAAAACAATACATTGGGCGGTAAAACAATACACAATACACTGGGCAGTACAACAATACATTGGGCGGTAAAACAATGCACAATACACCGGGCAGTAGAACAATACATTGGGCGGTAGAACAATACACAATACACTGGGCAGTAGAACAATACATTGGGCGGTAAAACAATACACAATACACTGGGCAGTAGAACAATACATTGGGCGGTAAAACAATACACAATACACTGGATAGTAGAACAATACACTGGGCGGTAAAACAATACACAATACACTGGGCAGTAGAACAATACATTGGGCGGTAAAACAATACACAATACACTGGGCAGTAGAACAATACATTGGGCGGTAAAACAATACACAATACATTGGATAGTAGAACAATACACTGGGCGGTAAAACAATACACAATACACTGGGCAGTAGAACAATACATTGGGCGGTAAAACAATACACAATACACTGGGCAGTAGAACAATACATTGGGCGGTAAAACAATACACAATACACTGGGCAGTAGAACAATACATTGGGCGGTAAAACAATTCACAACACACTGGGCAGTAGAACAATACATTGGGCGGTAAAACAATACACAATACACTGGGCAGTAGAACAATACATTGGGCGGTAAAACAATACACAATACACTGGGCAGTAGAACAATACATTGGGCGGTAAAACAATACACAATACACTGGGCAGCAGAACAATACATTGGGCGGTAAAACAATACACAATACACTGGGCAGCAGAACAATACATTGGGCGGTAAAACAATTCACAATACACTGGGCAGTAGAACAATACATTGGGCGGTAAAACAATACACAATACACTGGGCAGTAGAACAATAGCGTTGTAAAAGTCAAGAACTCTTTTTCAAATCATCAGTCCTTTTGGGCATATAGGGCTAGATCTATATTTTATAAAGGCTTGACTGAATTGGCAGCCAAAGACATTCTGAAAGATCTTCCGGCTTCGCTCGGATTTAAAACATACAATCTGTGGACCCTCACGAGAGCCTCTAACTGCTACACCACGACGACTAGTCGCCAGGTAGTTGACTGTGTTCTTCTTTTTTTCCTCCTACATCCCCTATTAAACCATTTAGGGGGAAAAAAAGGGGGGGGGGGAGGTAAGGGTTTGTCTAGGGCATGCACGCATTGTTTAGGGTTAGGGTTAAGGGCTGTTCAAGATTTGAATGTGTTTGTCCGAACAGACAAAATCCCGTCACCTGACGACAGCTCATTCTGTTCTTAACTGTTACATTTACGAAACACCTTATCGTGATCCTTAACACTACCACCCCCATCTCCATCTTCACCAATACCGCCACCACCACCACCACTGTCTATACCAACATCTTCATCAATACCACCACCACCACCACCACCACCATCCAAACCATCATCTTCATCAATACCACCACCACTGTCATCAACATTATCGTCTGCACCAACACCACTACCATCATCATCATTATCTTCATCAGTACCGCCCCCACCAACATCATCATCCTCATCACAGCCAATAACTACCATAACGATGATTACTACTACCTACATCAGCTGCCCCGTGGGGGAAGATAACAGATCTAAGATACTTCTCTGTGGTTGTCGTGGAGTTTAAACTGATGGAGCGATCATCATCATCATCGTCATCATCCTCCTCATCATCATCGATATTATTGCTACCATCATTTGTAATTCTCCCCGTGTGGGTTATGGAGCCCCATTATGGGAAAAACAAGAAAAGATCCACTGCTTCCCCAACAAGCATGTCGTAGGAGTTGACTAATTGGGGCATCCTTCAAAGTCGGAGCGCATCTGCGTGAGAGGCGAGGAACCAACAGTCTGCATACAAAAAAGCAAATCAGTAGAACGGATGTGCAGGCACAATTAGACCTCCGGGGCAAGACAAAAGTCCAGAATCACACGAACCACCAAAACAACCGTTGAACGCGAACAAAGACTCCACATAGCATACATATGCACAAATATTGACAATAAAAAATATCTATAATGATTTACACAAATGAAACCAATTTACTATACTGGTTTGATATCACTACCTGGGTAGTGATGATGCGTTGCCTTTCTATTATTATTGCTAACTCGCGTTCTTATCGCAACAGGTGCCTCAGCTTTTGCTACTGTTGCAGTTGTTGCTGCTGTTGCAGTTGTTGCTGCTGTTGCAGTTGTTGCTGCTGTTGCAGTTGTTGCTGCTCTTGAAGTTGTTGCCGCTGCTGTCGACGCGTGCATCGGCAGTGGGTTTCTTATTATGACTACCTCCGGAAGCGCCTCTGATTCAGAAATCACAAGTGATGTTTGGTGTGATAGCATCGACGACACACTGGCCTGTGACGCGTGGAACGTTGATAAAGGCGAAGTCGCAGTTATACAGACACGGGATACAAATGTTATAACACTAAAAATGCTGATCACCGGAAATATCGTGAAACAATCCAACATTTTGTTTCTAAATGTATCCCAATGCCATTTTTAATCCGATCTCTGTGTTATCCTAAATATTTTAAATGCGAATGTGACCACAAGAAAGTAAGTAAAATTGTTCGGTCATGTATCGTGAAAGGCAACAGACAGAGCCCCACAAAAATGCAGTATGCCTATACAGCACATGATACACAACTTCACTGAAACACGAGATATGATCATGTACATGGAGCCTGGCAGAGCAGAGGCGCCTATACAGAGAAAACACTGAAGGGGCGGGGGGTTCTGAGTGTGGGCGCCCCTCTTATCGACGTCATTTTTTTTATACGAAAAGGTGATGGGGCTATAACGGTGTCAACTCTAGTTTAAGGGCACAATATTAGTAATACTACCGACTAAATGGTCAATAAACATTTTTTTGAAATAATATAAAATTTCTGCACACATACTTTTTAACATAATTTCGGGATGGCTAAAAAAGACTTTTTAGCTCGTTACAAAATTATCGGTCATGGGGTTCCTCAGGTAGCCTAAGAGTACAAAATGCGAAATGACCATAGGAGGTGAAAGGGGGGATGGGGTATACGCAAAACAATACAATAACGCCGGAAATGATAAACTATGACACACACATTCCTACCATGTGTAATAGCGGTTTCCGGTAAAACGGCCTCTGATTTGAGCGATCGGCGGCAACACTGACGGATGTACTATTGTGTCGGATGAAAACGTTACATTATTGTTGCCTCGGCGTGGGCTCCAGCGCCTTTTGGGGGTAGGGGTGGGGGAGGGGGGGGGGGGGGTAAGTGGATAGACCCCCCTCCCCCTCAGCATGTCTAAAAGTGCAATTAACTAGGAGTGTTTTCTTCAGTCGGAAGGCATCTGCCTGAAATGCCAGGAATCAACACTTTGCACTTAAAAAAGCCAGATCTGTAAAACGGATGTGCACACAAGACTTAAATTTCTAGAACAAGATAAAAGTACAGAAGAGATGAACAATCAAGACTTTCCGTTTGCAGCTAGTTAACTCTAAAAAGAAAAAGAAAGATATTGTCAAAACGACTGCTATACCCGGTTCTAGACTGCCCGTCGTTGCAAGTACCCACTATAGGCAGGAACGACCTAGTAGTAGTAGTAGTACATTTTACCCTACTAAGACATCACACAAGCGATAAACACCCGATGACACAAAGTGCAACCATGTAAATGAGGATCACTCGTGGAGAGGTCCCGGAAACCGCATTCAGTCATTAGGCCATATTCATGGTTGGGCTATATTGCGGCTCCTGGCAGGGTAAGGCTTCAAAATAACGAAAAAATTGCATCCCACAAGGGGATGACAATTTAAAACTAGACACGACCTAGAAACCCCATCAACAGCTAGACAAATTGCGCATGGATTTCTTCTTCTTTGCGTTCGGTTTCATGAGCTCAGGTTATCAACTGCTTTGCAGTGGATTCCAGTCTACTGTGGCATTGCAGGAAACGAGATGGTGGAAAACTCTCAAGAACCGTCTTATCCTTACACATAAGGGACATCATTCAACACAGTTTGCTTCCAATATCTTTGAGTTACAGCAATTGTCACTCAGTGCTTTGTCTCCCTTGTCTGGTCAGTACTTTTTTCCCGTGGCAGCACACGTGTTAGATATTCTGCTGGCCGGACAGAAACGTGACTTCTATCGTAGGTACGTCAGTTAAGTGGTATTGTAGAGTAATATAGTGTGCTGATAAAGGCACTCTAGCCGAAACGATCAATTGTCCTTTGCGTTTGTGAAACCCTGCCGTTTTACTTTCCTGTTGGGTTGATATGTTTTCAAGATCTTGGTTGTGTTGCCTCCATGAACAGACACGCCAGCAGTTAGACTCCACGGGTTGCCCAAAGTCTGTTCCTGGAAGCCTCTTTCCTATGGCGATATGTTTTCCCGCCGGGTTTGCTGTATCGGACAGTGGTGCAGTATGTGTTTGGGGTGCCGTCTGCACAGGGACACTAGGCGGATTGTGTAGCCATCATTCTGTTTAGCTGATATCTGCAATGTCCTGTCGATAAATTTGGTGTTTAACACCAAAATGCCTTCTTTTTAGACTGTTGACTGCGTCGTCTGGATGTTTGTTGTTTGTTCTCTGCCTCCATGGGTTTCTTTACTGGTGTAATGTTTGATCAGCGTCCTTACCTCTTGCAGTGATATGGGATGGACGTTGTGTTTTCCACATGTTACCTCTATAACCAGTGTATCCGCCATCCCATTCCCTACTAGGCAATAATGAGCCGGGAGGTGCTTTATTAATATCCTGCCCCAGATGACGTCACAGGACAGTCCACTTTAGAGGGTCGTAAAACTGGGTTTTCTGGCTTTATGATGCTTTTAACCATCACGAAATATTTAGAACTGGTCCTAACCCCAACCCACCTACGTGCCACGAGAGAGTGCAGCCTAGGTCCCACAACTGCATGCAGCCTAGGTCTCACGACTGCATGCAGCCTATCTACCACCCCCTGAAATATTAGACTGTTCCGTGACCTGTGGATTTCCCC